TTATTATGGCAGGTTTGATCCAGTCAAAGGCAAGGACAGTGTGAAAAAGTAAAAATTAAAAGCTAAATTTAAGAAAAGAAAATGGAAAAAATAAAAAAAACATTTATATTAATGTACAATGTACAATGATAAATTAGCGTCGAATGCATCGAGATAAATGACACTACAGTTTTATTTTTATCCATAATTCCATCTGAAAATGGTAATGAAATGAAAAATTATGAAGCAATAAAACCAAGTGAGCCTAAAAAATAGAGAAGCTACATTGCTGAAAATCTGTTAAAATCTCTTTTATAAGTTCCAAATGCGCCTTTATTGCCACTTTTTAATGTTTTCTATTAGTTTCTTTTAAATTTTTTGTCATGATTCGCTACATAAAAAAGAACAGTTATTAACGCGAAAAGTTATAAGAATTGGCTTACTGGAATACTCTCAGTTAAGTTCTTTCTAAAAGTATAATTATTATTAATTAATTTTTAATTAATTACCACAATTTTTTATCATAAATCATAATCATCAGAATTTAAATAATTTTGCATTCATTACAACTGCGATAAAAAAGTGCAGTTATTCGCTCAAAACTTTTTTATAAATTATGGTTTGTTAAATAATCGACCTTCTACAAAATTCCAAAAAAAAGCCGAAACTGCTGCAAGAAAAAATGAAAAACAAACGAAATAGTATTTAGTACAAGTAAGATGGCAGCCGCGTGAGCATAAAAGCGTCGACGGATCATTTTTAATGCAACCTTTACTTGCGAAGGATTGAAATGGGGAAATCTTAGAATTATTAAATTCCTTATAAACTGCAAAACTAGTTTATTAAACTAAACTGGAGAAGCTTGTTAAACCGCCTCAGGCTTACTGAATATCTATTATTCATTGTAAATCCATTGATCAGTTTAGCCAAGTAGTATGACTCAACAGGTCGTTGTTCTCATTTTGTAGCACTCATTTTGTAGCTGAGTTCGGCAAAAGTAAGCATCCGACCTTTCAAAAAGCTCTGGGATGATGGCGACTCACCTATAATTCTATAGTCAAGTGATTCTTCCACAAAATTTGTCTGCTCCTACAAACCAGCGCAAAGAGCCCAAGTGGTGAGCGCTCCATAAAAATGGTCGATTTAACAACGCGAATACTTTGCCCTCATTTTTAATTAAATTCGTCACTCTATTTTGCCTGCAATTGCGGATTAACGACTTTCGATTTTTTTGGTGGCATATTATTTAAAATTTTGATTTAAAAAACTGTCTCCTACACCGGTTTTCATTATATTGAGATATTGCCAACATTCCAATTTTTGGTTGAGTGGCATTGCACTTATTGCTATCGTGTGGGAGGTGTGGTGTGGTCGTGGGGGTTTGTGGGTTCATTTGCTGTGTTTGTGGAGTTTAGGCGATAGGTGATTTACAATGTTAGATGTTAGGATTCATTGCGCTTGTTTTCAAAATTTTTTCACGATCCACTGAAATTCGTCAACTGTCGTTTAGTGAAACACACTGATTTATATTGAAAATAACCGATATTTAAAGGTTTTCAGATAAGAAAAGTTGTAACTGACTTATTTTTATGGGAAATGTTGTGCACGTTTTTAGCCAAATAAATTACTCAACTCTTTGGATTATTCTGTAATTTCTTTCACTGTCAAAAGGAAAATATTAGTTGAAAACATTAAAAATTTTTTTGGAAATTTCCCGAGGAGTTGTTTAACTTATTAAAGTAATAACTGTCGAATTGTAAAAATGAGAAAAATTAACGGAAATGAATTTACAATCATAATACAGGCATTATGAATGAAAATAACGGATGTAGTGAAGATGGCGATAGTGCTGCAGGTTTTTTAATGAAATGTATCGATGATAATCGCATTGATGTTTTGCGGTCAGTTTTGGCTCAGCTCGGTAAATATTATGCTCTTATATAGGTAAAACATCGCTAGGGGCAGGTGGTCGATTGGTATGCTGCTTTAACCAACGAATTCAATCTTTCGCTTGAAAAAAAGCCTATCATTAGAATTGAAAGCGTTAAAACATTGTGTTAGGGGCTGGCAAAGGGTCCTCATCATAAAAGCAAATCGAGCCAGTTAAACTAGAAATTTTTTGCCGCTAGAAGGCGATGAAACGTGCCAGCAGTTTTTCTTTCTAGATTTCTATGAGCCAGATTCTATAAATTGGTAGGTAATTAACTTGATAAAGAAAATTAATTGGAGTTTTCTTCGACTGGAATAACTCAAAGAAAAATCGTCAACATATTCTTAATGATTAAAATGAATGAGAAAGAAATCAATGAAGAGTGACAACGCAGCACAGAACATTAGATTGTAAAAAGTCGTCATTTATTTTTATTTTATTTATTGAAGAAATATTTAGCAAAATGGATAAACTTTAGTAAAAATGTACATAAAAAAGAACAGTTATTAACGCGAAAAGTTATAAGAATTGGCTTACTGGAATACTCTCAGTTAAGTTCTTTCTAAAAGCATTCACCATTTCTTATTTGGTTGGCGCTACACTGTTTCGAATCCTTTCACCAGTAAGATAAAGCTTGGAGGAGTATCAATAGGTCCTCAAAGCCATCCTGGTTCCATCTTTAATGATGGATTTATTCTCTTCAAGAGAGAGAGTCAAGCCTGCTGTGATGGCTTGACTTCATTAAGGCAATATGCCATTCGATCACATCATGTCGTGATTTAGGTTATATTTGCTATCCATCGGATTAACATTTTATACTGTAAAAATTTTTTAATCTGGCTGTAAACTTTTGGGTTCAAGTCTAATCTATATTCATATTTTCATTTTTTTTCAAAAAATGCATATAGATTCTTTATATTAGCTTCTCTCGACTTAAAAATAAGTGTTCTGATTGTTAAAAAATTTGGGCCTCATTCACGATGAAAAAATTTGATAATGTTATTTAATACTTTTGTCAGAATTGAAAATTGATACCTAATTAATATTTTTATTTCCTGAAATTTTCTTCACAATGTGATAAATTTACAATATTCAAAAATTTTTTACTTTCAGCTTCCAAATCAGATTTTCATGATCAAGTGGACAAAGTTTGTTGCTCTGAAGGCACTCTGCTTCATTATGCTGTCGCTTCTGGTTTTTTTTTCGATTGTAACCTTTTATTATTTACTATTTAGAATTGAGGTCAAGCATGGTTTTTCACCAACTGACATTGAAAATGTCATCACCGATCTGTTAATATTATTTATAGCTTTCCACAGATATTATTGAAATATAGGTTATTGGGTGGTTTTTTGCCTCTATTCCTTTTTTTTAAAGTATATCAACCAATTTAGGCAGCAACAGCTACTGAAAAATAACCCATATTTTACCTTGGTATAAGGAAGGGGATAGCAGATTTTTACGGAATTATAAGTATTTCCTGTAGGGTTTTTTTAGAGACATCTTCTATTCGATTCCAGTAGTCCTCCATAATTTTGGACTTTTTATTTGCAAATGTGATCTTATATAGCTTCCTAAAACAAAAAATAGATCAGAACGTGAAAAAAGCTTTTTTAAATCATCGAGTTGGAATTTTTTCGTTGATTTCGGAGCATACTTATGTATTTTATTAATTGAGAAATCGTATATATATATATATATATATTTAGAATCGTATATATATATATATATTTATTTAAAATTTTAAAAAATTGGATGGAGCATTTTTCGTATGATGAAAATTTATTTACTGAAATGCATATTCTCTGGTATTGACAGTATTTTTGAGGATTTGCACTGAAAATTTTTTTCTCTTGTAATGTGCTATTTTTGTAAACTTAAGTCATACTTTTCGCGTTTCAAAGCAATAAGAAAATTTATATGTGCTATGCTAAAAAAGCTTTGTTTCAAACTGTTTTTTGTTCATTGAGAAATCAATTAGACTGAAAAATTAGAAAATCTCGGTATGGTTTCATTCCGATAATCAAATTACCTAGTAATCATCATCGATAAATTCAAACTGCATATGGATGGACTTTTGGATGGCAAAACAGTGTTTTACCACTTTTGCGAAAGTGCACGTGATTGAGTATTGTGGGCGTGGATTGATAATTTATTGGAGGCTGGATCACTGAGAGTTTGGGGAGGAGAGGGGAGAGAGGATGTGGGGAATGATACTGCTGAGTGAGGTATTTCGCGTATTAAAAAATCCGCTCGTATTTGCTTGTATTCGAAGTTAGGTGTCGTACTGGAACTTTTACAAGGCAGGTAGGTGAAGCATGAGAGATTTCGCTTGATTTCGGAGAATTTCGGCAAAAAGGCGGTACACATAAACATCTACAGTGATTGTGTTTACCAAACGTTGATGCTATTGGTAGAATGATAAGTACTGCCATTACTTCGGTTTACGAGTTGTAGAGCTGTTTGCCAAAAAACTGCGACTAGCGTTGGATAACGCGGAGCAGCATAGAAAAATTAAGCCGACCATATCGAATGAAGCAACGCTGACGCTAGTAATTAAATGAATGTATATGTGAATCTATATTTTGTCGTGGAAAATGGTGAAGCTGTGGAAAAATTTTTTACGGACATTGGTTTTATTTTGTAGGAAAAGCGATTTATTCACAGTAAAGAATGAATTATCAAAAAAATGAGTAGTAAGTTTAAAATAAAGTTGTATTACAAGATTAAGGTATTGTCCTGCCAGCCACTTACATAAAAACCTTATCAATCGGGACAAAGAGAAAAGTATCAGTTTTTTAACTTTTTTATAAATTTACTTTTTTCAGTTACCTAATCTATGATTTTTACATTTTATATTGGCTAAAAATATCAACTAATAAATCAGATTAAATGATAAAATTAATTTAATGAAACGTAATGCTGGCCATCAAGTTAAAAATACTTTTTAACAATTTTTACTTCTTGGCTTCATTAATTATTTTCATTCTTTGCTCGGGATTTTTTTCTAATTGAAAATACGTTTGGTGAAATAATGAGCTGCTTGATTTCAGGTAGATGTTTCCTGTTTTACCACAAGATTCCCGCTTTTATGTCATCGAGCATATCGTCGTTCGTGGGTTGTATGTTAAATCCTTCGACTGTAGAAGCGTATGGGGTCAAGCACCTTGATAATGACGAAGTGCAAGTGAATCATAGACATGGTGAAATAACGGTGATGATTTGATGATTCCAGATACAGTGGTCGACCATGACTCGTTGTTGCATGAAATCTTTAGACCAGCCTTTTCATTTGAGAATGAACAAGTTATGCAAGGCTATTCTGTGCCTGAAGAATAATGAGTATAAGAAGGTAAATGAAGTGGGTGTTGCGTGTTTGAATGATGTAATAAAGTGGTTAGTATTTCTGATTAGACCAATTCCTTATAAATTATGAAATTTTTAAAAATTAGAGAGTCAGTTAACTTAGATAGACGAACTTGTTAAACGACAAAGGAGATAATGTCGCTGTTTTAAGAAATGTTCATCATAGTATTATCGGAAATTAGATATGCGAATTTTATAATGAGATAAGACTGGTACTTTTTGAGTTTGAACATAATGTGTTATTTTGTATGGACGTGCCTGCAAAAAAGCAAATTATATTTGTACCCTAATTTGCCTTAAAAAAAAGGATAATTCTTCTTACTAGCCTTTCTAATAACGATAAAGCATAAAGACAAACGCTGGGTAAAATAAGAATTGAAAAGAGGCCATGTTTATTTGAGGAATAGTAATTTTTGGCCACAACGAGGGTGAAAAAAGTGTCTGATGTAGGAATAAAGGTAAACAGCAACCAAAAAGCAGAGTAAGAAAGACGGTAACCATGGTTTTAAAGAGAATGCAGTAAGCGTTATACTCATTCATTTTTTCGTGCTGAAGTGGCGGTCAAGCTGAATTTTGTTGTATTGTTATGGTATATCCTTTATCGACGATGACATCAGTCCTCTGAGGTTCATAAAAAATTCCACTGAAGTACCTAGTTCTATGAAAGTCATAATATTCCCTTATCATTTTGACTGTGAAAAAATTAGGATTGAATTTCCTAAAATTTCGGTTTTCTCTTTTTTTGTTTTTATTTGTTATGGCTTGTATTTGGTATCTTTATTTTTGTTTTCCCTTATTTTTAAAAATTAGAGAGTCAGTTAGCTTAGATACGAACTTGTTAAACGACAAAGGAGATAATGTCGCTGTTTTAAGAAATGTTCATCATAATATTATCTTTGAAATTGGATACGCGAATTTTATATCCGCAAAATTTACCTTAGACATGAGTGGCTAATAGCTTCTTAATATCTTCCACGTTAATTTACATTCATTGTACATTCATCTTTTTTTTCTTCGACGAGATTCATTTTTTTTCGCAATTTTTCTTGAATTTTTTGGTTAAAATTTCTTTTAAAGATAATGTTATAATGTTAAACGGCAGATTCATTTCGATTTTTTTTTAGGAACAGAAAGCGTAAAGGATATTGATAAATAATTCAACATTAATAAATCTTTCCGCAATAAAGCTATTTTCATTTTATTCCACCTTTCTACTTGTTAGTAGGATTAGATTTTTGCCAATGTAAGGAATATCAACTATGCCTCTAGTGACCGGAAAATGTTTGCAATAAGTTTCGCAAAGAAGTTCTAATTAACTACATTTTTTTCACCATTTTTCAAAGCATTCACCATTATTGGTCACACTCGTTGCGCTGGCTTATCGCACTAGGCAGACGTATTAGAAATAAAAGTGAGTCGCCAACATCACCCGGAATTTTGGATAAGTTTGCTCCTGTAGTTAATTGTTTGGTCAAATTCATCACAGTTCTTGTTACTTTCTATCTCAATATCAATGCCAGTAATTTCACTAACATTGCCTAGCAATGTTATGGATGTTTTTTTCTGTCTTTCATAATGTAATCCCATTCTTCCTATGTGGAGAAATTAAATTGGGGAGAATGGATTTGGCGCAGTTTAATAGAAGGAAGATTTGATGAGAATTGATTCGATACAAGTTTTATTTTATGTTCACCCTATTCAGTGTTTCCTTTTTTTTGCTTTTATTTGTTTGATTTTTATTTTTAATTTTTTTGTTTTATTTTTATTTTTTTTTGTTATCATTCATAATGTAATATTTTGCATTCTCGAATATTCGTAATTTTTAGAGAATGCAACGATTTTATTTTTGCTTTTCATTCCACTTTCGATTCAAAAATTTGCAGAATCTGTTGACTGTGTGAGAACTTTGTTGTCTTCCGGTGTTAATCCTTGTGTACAGAATGATAACAATCAAACCGCTTACCAAGTTGCAGAAACAGATGATATTAAACAAGTATTTGTGCAGGAATTTCTGCATGCTGTTGCCAAGTCGAAGTAATTTTTCTTGTTGGTTCAGTTATTTCCTAGTTATAAATTATTAATTAATTATTAAAAATATTTTTTTTTTTTTGATTTGCGTTAGGTTGCGAATTGAAGGTGAAGTTCCAGTAACTGAAAATTTTGAATGCCAGCAACGTCCTCATTCATGCGACTTGAAAAAATTTGAATTCGTCGTACTTTTTTACGTTTTTCTTCTCTTGAAAGAAAGGAAAGAATTTTTATATACAATATATACAATATTTTAATATTTAATTTTAATATACTTCCTCTCATTTTTAATATTTTTGATATGTTTGCCATTATCTAATTATATACACACTATTCAAAATTCTCCATATTTTTGTTGAAGCCTTAAAATTAATGGTAATATTATGCCAAAAGCTTCAGATTTTTTCATTTTTTTCATTTTTTCATGTAACATTAGTTAAAAATGCGTAAAAAAGCTAATGAAAAATGGGTAAATCCTAATTTTGCATTTCATATGTCAATAACAATTTTAGTTTAAATTATAATTTAAAAGTATGGCAAGGTACAGTAGGCTAATAAAGCAATCATCATCTGGATGATCACTTTCGAAACTTTGTAATTTTCATTTTGCAGTCTTGGCCGGGTCTGTCAAATGATTTCATCTGGAGTTCATGTTAATTCAGTGGATACTACGAAGACTGGAAATACTGCTTTACATTGGGCTGCATCCTTTGGAAATGAATTTGTTGTGCGGTGCCTTTTATTTATTTATTTGTTAATAAATCCTTATTACGATTTATATGTGTTTTGAATTTAGGACTCTTTGTGAAAGCGGAGCAAATGTGAATGCTATCAACACCAAAGGTGAGACACCTCTTCATGATGCAGTGCATCGTGGTGACGATCCTATAGTTCGATGCCTATTGCTCCACGGTGCTGATCCTAGTTACAGGGATGCTAATGGTGTTGACTGCTATGAATTGGCTACAAAACTGAATACAGCTGTACAGAAAACGTTAAGTATGAATAAGTAAATCAACATTACATATATTCATTTTCTTTTTTTTTTTGAAATTTCATTAAATTATGAGCGTCTGCATATTGCATATTTCTGATATTTACTCGGCTTATTATTTTGCTGAAGAGTAATTAGCCAGAAAGGACTAAATCGTTTTTTCGCTAATTGTTTTTCAATTTGAGTATTAATCGTGCAATACGTCGATCAACCTCCGTTGAGTCGGAAATTGATTGTTCGTCGATAATTTCAAGCGAAACTACTTGTGCGCTGTTCTCAGATCGGAATGCATCAGTTTCATTTGGTAAAATCATTTCTTGGACTGACCTTTTATGGCCACAACCGAAGTATATCAATCTTGATCAAAAGTTAGTTTGAAGTCTATTTATGAAAGTAACGAAAAATCGTGTCAACTTTTTGCAAAATTAAAAGTCGGCAGAATAGAATAAAAATTATTTTTACTTTATTTACTTTCTTTGGATGGCTAAGTAATTAGTGAAAATGGCAAATATGTGGTGATGATTCGTCAACTGAATTTATCTTAAAATCATCCGAAAGTACAAAATTACAAAATGTTTCATTTTAGATCTCGTATTTTCGAGACGAAATTTCGACCAAAAATTTCGGAGATAAATTTCATGGAAGTTTCATCAAGCCTAAAAATTTATTTAATTTATAAAAATTTATTTAGAAATCGATCAGTTAAATTCCCTCAGGATAATCGACTGAAAGTTTATTTCGTTGGAAAGAGTGAAGGGGAACCACGACGTCTCATGCAGATTATTCAGATTTCCTTCCCATTGCTTGCCAGTATTCAATTAGAACTCGAGTATAGAGGGCACAAGGTTTTTTCTTTTTTCTTTTCTTTTTTAGTTATTTAAGCATTTTTCTTATAGTCACCTTGTCATTTTGGCAATTTGTTAGGGACAAAAAATATCGTTGATTTTTACTAACCACTAGATTTCTACTAAAATAGATTTTTCTAATAAAAAATTTTTTTAGTAGAAAAATTGCTGAAAAATTTCTTTTCTATTACATTTATAGCTAGCGGAATATTCATACTGTGATGGAATGGTAACCTGTGGTATTTTTGATATCGGAGAAAGTCGTGGTTCTTATACTTTGTCTATTGGGAGTAACGGCATTGAATTATATGCTTGTGATTATTCTGGCATACGATATGGTTTTGCAACGTTGGTTCAAATTTTGCGCCTTCATAGAACCAATCTTGAGGTATTTGAATTAAAGTTCTTTTTTTTTGTTTAAATTGTTTCCACTTTTTTATTGTGTTGATGCGTTATGAAAATAAAGTTTTCCAAAACACTTTATAACTATTCTCTATATATTGTTCGTTTCAGATGAAAAAGTTACTTTTTACATGATGAAGGACCATAATTAGCCAATCCTTTATATAATCAATAAATTGTTAGATAAATGACATGGAAAGCCATATTAATATTATGTATTTTTGTTTATAATCTGGTCTTCATTTGTTTTAGATAATTATTATTTCAGAATGACAAGCCAATAAATGGAATCGCAAGTAATTCGATTAACGATTCTCCAGATCATAACTATGCCCGATCAAATAGAAATGAAAATCCTCGGATTAATCCGGGCCAGTTCATTTTTAATCATGTTTTACCTCATCTCCTTCATTTTACCTTTATCTTTTTCAAATTTTTGGAATTGTTTTAGGATCTCTTCCGTGGTTAACAATACGAGATGCTCCGGATATGATTATTCGAGCAGTTTTTCAGGACTTCAGTGGATGTAGAATATTGAACATAGAAACAGTTCGTGGTTTTTTTATAAAATTTTAGCAGTCTTGTGTTGACATCAAAATTTAATTTAATATTTTAGTTGCTGCAGCTAGCAACACGATTTGGCTATTGTAAAGCCAGTCATCTTTTTATCCATTTTGAAATAAGAACGACTGATCGATATCAGTTACCGTATACCAATCGTGATTTGTTTCATGTGGCCCAAGTGTGTGATGAACTTTTTGTACAGGTTCCTCGCTTTTTTATCGCAAAACTTTTAAAACTTCATTTCCCTTTAGAAAAAAGTATATTGATAACGATAGTTTATTTTGTGATTTTAGTGACTAGTTAATAATTTACATTGAATAATCAAGTTTCTTTAGTTAGTGCCATCGTTGGATGTTCAGTCAAAGTATATAGAGTTGGATGTTGCGCGAGGAGTTATTGATCGTTTTCTCGATGATTTTCCATTGACAAGAGTAATACACTTTGGACCAAATCTGGCATCAGTTATTTTAACAAAAAATTCACTTTTAGATGCGATTCAGCGTCGCGTTGCGACAATTTTTCTGTCCGCTGAAATTACCGAAAAAAATATAAATGTGGTTCGCGCTACAATATGATTGAATTTTTATTTGATTTGTTTTCTTCAAAAATTTCAGCTGGCATTTTCTGATATAAATTTGAACAATATAAAAGAGAAATTTTTGATGTTATTTTCAGATCAACGAATTACCTCCATATGTAATGCTATGTGTCGAAGGCCATCCTTTCGAAGCTGATTCGTTTCTGTCGCCAAGACTGAATGTTGTATTAAAATTTGCTGCCATTGATTCAGGATATTTATGCGCATCTCCAGAATCCATCGCTAAAAAAGCCTTTCTTGTTTCCAAACTTGGAGAAAAATTTCCTCTTCTGGGTATTAGACATTTGCTATGCTAATTTTTATTTTTACGGAATCGATCTTTTATATTTTTGATATCAGTTGTAGAAAATCATGTTAAGGTGCGATAATGTGCGATTTGTCTACCGGATGTGAAGTAATACCAACATCTCTTTCATACTTGTCAAATCTTGCATCCGTTGGAGTATGTTGGAATAAACGAGTTGATATGAAACAATATTGTTTTCTTTTACCAAGGATTGCCGCGGAACATATTTTATTGAATGGGTTTGTTGAGTTTGAAATTACTTTTGTTCCTGGATCTATGTTTAAAATCTGTGATTATACAGGAATTTGGAAATGTTGTTCAGGCAAGGAGTTGTACTCGGTCGAATCGAGCATCAGATGACAAGATTGAACTGTGGGATAAAGCTTGGACCTGGTACAATCTGTTTTTTTTCCAATTGCTATTCCCAGTTTTTTTTGAAAATTTCGTAAAATTAACTTCAGTAGCTAGTTGGCTTCTTTATTCTATTGCTTGGTGATTATAAAAAAATCGGAATGATATTTTCACTTGCCACGCAAATATATTTTATTGATTTTTTCATTTCCTTTGAACGGATATTAAAATGAAAGGTATGAGAGCAAGATGCCACATGATCAAAATTTTATCCTCAAATTAATTAGACTACAACCGAAAACAACAAAAAAAGAGAAAAAATGTATTAAAAAAGTGGTCAAAAAATATTAGAGAAAAATCTTGGGGCTTATATTCAAATTTGTTTAATTAAATTTAATGAAATCAAAAATAAAAAACAAAAAGTATTAAAATTAATTGTTGCGACCCATCGCATTCGATAAAAGTAATTTCTTAGGTACCTCTTACCATATAAATTTGACGTCAATCCTTTTTCAGAAATTAATCATAAGTATATCAAGGAATTGAAATGAAAAACAAATCACATTTTGCAGCAATACCTAAATTAATTTGTATTTCTTAAATTTCTGATTTATTGAAGAACATCATTCGGTTTTAAGTGGGTCAAACTGGCGATAAAGAATTTGACGCAGTAAAGAAGACATCCATTTCAGTTTTTGTTGAAATGATTCTTAATCCGGACAATATGGTTTTGGACAGGTTAACTCCAGTTATATTCAAGGTTTTTCAGCTTTACCATTCTTATGCATTTAAATTTTTTTTCGGAATCCTAGAAGTAACATCTTTTATCCATTTAAAATTTTACTTATTTTTAGAAAGCGCGTGTGGAGCTGAAACGTAGCCTTCGAATTCTAGATGAAACTCGAAGAAAACTGCCATATAATTTTGAGCTCGCATTAATACTTGCTGAGGTCCAGCTGGTTACAGAATTAATGATCCTTGCTAGTCGGTTTGTATTATCACATATCTTTCAAAGTTTTTTAGCTCTCGAAATTGCATATTTTCAATTCCTTAAGAATTCAGAAGCTGGTCTTGAGCATTTTTATTATGTTGAAAAAGATATCAATTTTAAGTGAAATATTTAACTTTATTGCTTGACAGTTATAGATTAGGGCAATCTCTTTGCACTTATGGTATAAACCCTTCATTATCAAATAATGGCCCTTCTAATTTGAATATGGCGAACGACAGAAAGGACTCAACCCCTTTAATTGGATATGTTTTTGTGAATTTTGGTGTTTCCAATTTGCCTTTGACAGTACGCACTGATCTCGCAAATAGGTGAGTTTTTTGACATTTTGGTTAATTTTGTTCTATATAATTATCTTTTTCCACATAAAAAGCCATTTCATTCATTAAGTTGATGAGATTATAATATTTTTTGTTGTTTTTTTTTTTTTGAAAGCCTTATAATACTTTGTCAAATATGTTGCAGTTTATTGGAAATACGCAGCAGATTTCAACATACATGGTTGTCCAGGAATATTGCCAGTACTTTACCAAATGCTTTGAAAATATTTGATAATCTTTTTCGAGTACTTCTTCCACCGAGTTTGCAACAATACGAGAAGAATCTTTTATAAATTTGAAAGGTTTAAATATTTTTCCCCTAAAAGTACCAATGGCTTAGGTGCCGGTTTAATTTTATTCTTCTTTTGCTTTTTTGACCTGTTTTGCTTGCATTGACAAAGGTTAAGATGTCAATTATTGATATTAACATTTTTTTGCAACGAAACTCTTTCGGTCTTACTTTCTTCTGGGCTTAAAGTTTTCGCTTATATCATAATTTATTTCATAAGTGTTTTTGACAATTCTGTTCCATTTTATCTACTTGTTTTTTAGTGGGGGTTGTTTCTTGTAAATTCTTATAAATTCAGTTATAATTTATTGAGAATTTCTTGAGAAAAGTTATTGTAGTGTGTTGTCCTGTAGGATTTCCAGTGAAAAATGTTATTTTATTATTTTCACACATTGTATCTGTGATTCACAGTTGCCTTATTTTATTCGATTGTTGTGCCATTCAAATTTTAAATTTTTATTAGTCTAATAGTAGATATAACCAAAAGATCATAAACGTATATTATAATTTAATATATATATATATATATATAATTAGCTATTTTATATCGTATTTTATTAAGAAGCCAAAATTCTTCTTAAAAATTTGGATAAAATTGCTGGGACTGATATTAATTATTGAAGTTATCATAAACCTTTTGCAGAATAGAACCACCAGTCTGGAATAATTTTGTTTTTAATGTTTAATTTTATGTTAAATTATATCATTATTTATTTCCGGAGAGTTGTTGTGATAGTAGTTGTTTAATGAAATTTAGTTTGGTTAAATATACATTGGTAATTGCTTATTAGATTCCTTATTAGTTTTGAAAGTTTTTCGTTTTATTTTATTAAAAAAACGATTTCAAAAATGAAGCGATAAAAACAATTCGTTTTCGACTTGAGTAAGTAATTATTTATTGCTTTCATTGTTCATGGGTTTATTTTTTTAAAGGATAAAATTTATTTGATTGTGGATTTGATTGTTATTTATCTGTTGTTCAATTCACTAATCATAACGTTTAAAAAAATGTTTAATTTATAAATTTTTCGTGGGCCATCTTATTCAAAGAAAATATTGCAATAGATGAAGACGCCGTAATACGGCATAGATTTAAGCGAAAGTATTGTTGGAACTTCTAAGTGAGAATTTCCAGACAATGAATTTTGCGATCTTACAAGAAGAGCTGAATAGTTGCATAGCTGGTGTTAATCGGTATAATCCAAATAACGTAGAAACATTGGAAAAATGTGTTCAAGCAATGGTACTTGAAAATCAATATGATATGAATATACTTATGACACTGCTAAAATTATATCAGCTTAATCCAGACAAGTGATTTTTATTGTTTCTTTTGTTAAAGCCGTAGGTTTCATTTAACTCGATTGATCGGTTCTCTGGTAAAATTTTGTGATTTTGATAATATCGCCTCAAACAAGCTTCTTTTCAGTTCATTTCATTGCATTTTTAATTTTAATCGCGCAGGTACAATGAAAGTTCGGTAAAGCAAGTCTTACTGAAAACTATGATGAGGAATCCTCGAAGTGATTTTGCCCAAGCGAAATATCAAATTGACGCAAGTCGTGTTCTCTCTCCTGTATATATTTGTTTTTCTGTTTGTGAAAAATGATAAAATATTCGTTGAATATTATGAGCGCATATTTTGAGAATTCAAATTGAGAATCAGTTTAGGAATTAAAGCGAATTTTGGATATTGGTGCATTGTTGGAGTCATGTAATTTTTCTGTATTTTGGAAGCTGATGCGTGGTGAGTATCGGATTACCGATGATGTCGATGAGCGGTTTAGGCAACCATCTGAAATTCCTAAAATAATCAAATCAATACCAGGATTCGAGGAGAGTGTTCGACAATGTAATTTCAGGCTTACTATTGAAATTTCTTACTGTTATCTACTATTATATCTAACTATTGAAATTTTGGCTTCAAATTTTTTTGCTTTCATTGGATTCAATTTATTTTAGCACAAATCTAAATCGATTTTTTTAATTTTAAAATCCTATCAATCGGACTTTTATTACGGAAAACGAGAACTTTGCAGATGCTTGTCTAGTAATTAACGTCACTTTCCAGAATATTGAGAAATCGTTATTGGTTCGTCTTCTTGGTGGAGTTTCAGGTTTTAGCTTTCTATTTTTTTTTATCCCATTATAAGACCTATCTATTAGAAATGAACCGTGCGCTTTAAAATGAAGTCGCTAATATTTAGTTTACAGATAAGCAACTAAATGAATACGCCAAAGAGCACGGTTGGTCAGTTAAAGAAAATGGTGAGGTTTATTTCATTCAAAACCATGAAGCAACCATTAAAAGTCGAAATATTGAAGAAAAACTTCAGTTCAAAAGTAATTTTTTCTTTTACTATTTGGGCACATTACAAAACGTTGAGAATATGTATGCTCATCTATGAACAACTGCTTCTTGCCCCTGATTGCATATTTTTGTGAATTGCTCAATTTTTTTAAATGCAATTAATTGTGTTGGAAACTGATGGTTGAGCAATGTATTTCTTTGATGAAAGCAAGCAAAATGAATCCATCATTAAAGATGAAATCCGAATGGCTGTTACCTCTGGTTCTAACTCAAAATGAATGTTTAATTTTAAATGAATTTAACACAGAATGATTATATGGTGAAATGGTTTCACCAGTTTACAATCTGTAGTAGTTTAAGGATTCCTGGAGTCCTCATTTGACCATTTATTGAAGAGAATGCATCCTGGGAGTTGCGAACGGCCAAAGTAGGAATGGAAAGGAATACTCTGTTAGAAGAAGAATTGTTACGATTGTTACGATTAATACTAAAATCTTTTTTTATAGAGTCTTTTTATAAATAAATGAGTTTTTTAAATCTTTTTTATTCTATTTCTTATTGAAGATTATTATATGAAATGCTTATCTGAGCAAATAATGAAGTGTGTTCTTTGCTTCGTTTCCACTTGATAAATTTGATATATAAAGTTATATGCGAATATTTTCTTCGATGATTCATTTTTCATTTTTTAGATATTTCTTTTGTTTGGGGCTCAGTGGAAATGTGTTTTAATTGAGTAACTTTTTGAGTGCGATTTTTTTTGGCTAATTTGAGCGTTGAATTAAGTATTGATATTAATATTAATTACCATTTATCTTTAGCTAAAATTTATACAAAGAACACACTCATCACTGCACACTTAGATTCATTAAAAAAATTTATCGTCCAAGTAAGTTAAATATATTTAATATTACATTTATATTTGATATAACATTTTGATTGTATGTGAATCTGATTATCAATCGTTCGGTTTTTTATTTTCCCTTTTTTCCATTTTTTCTTATTTTGAGTTTATTTATTCGGTATATTCCTTCCCATTTAAGGCGAAGTATTTTTTAAATTTTAAATTTTCAGATTGCGAAGACATATTACGACAGCAAATTATGAGTTTCGGTTTTCCATCTCGTCATGATATATCGAGAAAATGAATTGTTGCTATATTGATTTAGCGAAAATATTTAAAATTTTAAAATAATATATATATATTTGTAATATTTGTAATGTGGTAGTTTTTTGAAATTTTTTAGTTTTTTATGTATGTTTCACAGTTCGTTCAATTTTTCTCTTTTCTATTTTCCATTATTCTGTTTCCTTAATTTTTTTATTAAAGATTGAATAAATGTTTGAACAAAGGCTGTTAGAAATCCTTTTCGATTTTAAATTTTTGTTTTTCTTTTTTTTTGCACTTCGATTTTAATTAATAACAAATAAATTACCGAATTACATATTTCTTTTATTGAAATTTGAAATCTTATGAAATCTTATGAAAATCTTATAATAATTGAAAATTTGATGTGTTGGATCACTTTAAGTGAATGAACTTGTTTTCATAATTATAATTAAAGTAATTATGATATGAAGTAATTATAACGTTGTGATTGGGGAATGTTTTTAATATTTCTAAAAAAAAGCTGTTAAAAAACAGTGGCTGTCGAAAAGCAGCGAACTATTTCAACAATGGGGTGGATATCTGTAATAATAATAATTGGTAGTAATAGCAATAGTAATGGTAATAAAACGGTAAAAAAGTTAGCAGAAGTAGTAATAAATGATGGTTGCTATTAATAATGATGGATAACAAGTGATAATAATAATTATAATGGTAAATGGAAACGCTGATTAGTAATAATAATGAATAATAATGGTGAGCAATTTAATAAGGATAGTAATAATAAGTAATAAAAGACAATGGTAATGGTAATAACAATGTTAACGATAATAATACCGGTGATAACAGTAATTAATATTGCGCATTAGTAATGAAGTGATGTAAGTAATAATAATAAATAATAATAAGCAATAAAAATAACAGCTAATAATAATAAATAATAATCAATAATAATAACATAATAATAATATAATAATAATAGCAATAATAATAATAATAATAACGATAATAATAATGATAATAATAATAAATAATAATAATAAATAATAATAATAAATAATAATGCAGGAATGAGTGATAAACGACATGGAAAATTAGGCACTTGATTTTAAAATATTCATTTAATTAAACGAAAATTTTCATAAATGATTAGTTTAGTGGAATGCTTTTTAAACAAAAAAAGGACACTTTTGCTTGAATTCTTCATAAATGTATGTCCATTAAAAAATAAAGGATGTGGAATGGCATCAGTGGTCACTGCAGAATTGTAAAATTCGCATTAAAATCGTATTGCTTCCGAAAGGTTATTCAAAAATGCGAGTGAAGTTGGCAGCTCATTTGTACTTTTTTCAAGTGATTCCCCTAAAATATGCCATCGCTTGAATTTACACTTGAATTCTGCATTTATAATTCAAAAAATTCTATGAGAAAAAACATTTCATGGTTTAAAAAACGGTGCCTTAAATACACATAATAGACATAACAGAGGAGGACACAACGGAGCGGAGTAACTGCTGCTCAGATTATTCTTGAGCATAAGTTACTGGTTCAGAGTTCGCTTTCATATGAAAGGAATAAATGTGTCATTAAAGAATTCTAGTGATGCCTCGGATATTTATCTCTAGAAGTGAGAGGAGCGAGCCTTACCAGATACACTGAGTGCCGAACTACTTCTCATCCAATATAATGTTATTTTTTACGCATTCTCACCTAATAACTATGCTAATTTATGTCGAAAAATTAGTGAAAAATTCGATGTCGAAGTTGATTTTCTTTGCGATTTATTAATTTTGATCTTTTGTTCTGCTAAAAAGCTATTTTATATATGAAAATTAGAAAAAGTCATAGCATAGGATTTTTTTTCAAATAAACTTCATTCGATTTTTAAAATGATTAAAAATCATTTGAAGTTAATCAAAATGATTATTCTGTAAAAATTTCAGAAAAAAGAAGCATTGTCGATTTGATTATTCAAGATTCGGATAAACTGAGCCGATGATGATCTTTGCTTCTGCCTGAAGCAAAAGATTTATTGAGTGCTGTCGCCTGCTTCAGTGATATTTACGGCTAATGGCTTAATATTGAAATTAAAAATTCAGTTTTTTCCAACGTAAACACTATTTAAAACATTTAAGTATTTAAAATTTAAAAGAAAATTTCGTCGCATCCATCAAATTCAATTTTAATTTTTGATAAAATTGTGATTATTTGATTGTTTGAAATTTTTTTATACAAGAAAATAAACTTGAAAATAAACTCTGATTTTAATTTCTTTATTTCTCAATATATTTCTTTTGAATTTTTTCGCTTATAAGAAATGGTTTTCGAATTCTTTCTCGGTATGGATGGATTTATTTCATTATTCATTGTCAGACATTGTTTTTGATTTACTATAATTATGATTATAGCTGGTTGAAGAGGAGAATTTTTAAAATTTTTTCAGATTTTCTTTTCTCCATCCTTCTAACAGCATTTCTGGTTTGTTTGCTTCGTTGCTTTGTTATTGGGATGAGACCAGTGTATCACTAGAGGATATAAATATAAATGCGTTATAAACAAATTGAAGTAAAATGGCAATATTTCATTTAATAATTTAGTCCTTCTTCGCCCATCCCGTCTTCGTCTCAAATTTTACTCGTTTGTTTTGACAAATCGACATCAGCTCAATTCCTATCAAATTCTATCTGGAAGAAAATTTTCATGGATATGACGTAAAATCTTAATCAATTTGTTAGTATAACAGATCAGATCAGTTTATCAAACAGACAGGAATGAGCCTGATTATTGATCGTTGTCTTTTATTTCTTTTTTCTCCTACAAAATTCAAATCTTTCAATACCAATTACAATGCGACAATTGTCAGCGAAATTATTTAACAATAGAATTGAACGATTAATATTTCCTGCAACAATTTAAGATCGAATAATGCATGATAGATTAGCGCCATTCGAGATCCAGTTTTCCTCAATTTATTCCAATTGATTGACTGATTAAATCATGACCAGTTCAAAGACCAAAAATCTGGACCAAAATTTTATTGATGGTTGGCCCGATCTGCCTGATAAACAGAAAGGCGTCCAACTGTGGATTATTGTGGTTCTATATTCTAAATAATAATTTTTAATTGAGCAGTGGTACCATCTACGAAGTTGAATTTCTTACAGCACGTAATATTTCTAATAATTCTTCATAATATTTCTTTTTACTTTATTTAGAATTTCTTCGTTTTTCCTTCCAACAATTAGCAGTTGCTAATTTGATTGAGTTCGCTGGGATAAAACGTTTTTAAATGCCATGCTTTTTAAATGACATGGCGTCACCTGGACCATCGTTTTTTATTTGTTTTTGAAAACTTCTTGTTCATCATATGACATTAGTAAATCCTTTGGTGACAAAAAACCCTTTATGCTAATTAATAAATATTTTTCTACTTTTCTGATATTATTTTTATTGCTTATGATTTTTTAATACCTTAAAATTAAGCATGTTAATCATTATTAAAAATCATAGCAAGAAAAATGAAAGTGAATGATTTAATCCAAATAAAAATGTCGATAAGCGAATATGAAATATAACATTCGTCACTCATTGCTTCAGATGTTGGCTAAATCTGGATTTCTGAAAATCAGTATGAGCCTGATTATGGCAGTTTGTCGTGGATTACCTTTTCTATTAATACGTGTTATTAAGGAAAAGTTACGCTTAACTTTTTTTTTCTTTTTTGCTCAGTACTTTATTTATAATATTAATCGTGCTAATATTAATCAGTTTTTCGCTACTTCATTTTCGACTATTTTTTTTTAAACCTTCGGCCAACACTTATATTTCTGCTTCATATTTTTTTTCTGGCTGCTTCTACAATAAATTTTTTCGTTCTAAATGGATTTTCAGTGCTACCTACCTACTTTAATCATAGGTTTATAATCTTCAGCATGTTAAGCTTGGATCCCATTCTACAGCAGTTTAAATTACACGTTATTTATAAAGTCAGTTTCGAAATTTTCCAATAGTGTGCGATTGTTATTGTAATATTGCAGTGACTGAATGGACAAACTGAATGATCGAAAGTAGTTTTATACCTATTTCTCTGGGACAATCTCCAATAGAATATTCTAAAATAATATAAAAATACCGCTGCTCTTTTTCATTTAAATATTATTGCATTAGAAAAAATATTATTTAAAACATGAATGAAGAATGAATAGCCTCAGAAATGTCTAAACAAGCAAAACTGTTTTCGAAAATTCCATTGCTATGGAATTTTTATTTAATTATTTTCTTTTTACAATAAGTGAGTGGTTAGGCTCACTCCACTGACTTTTAGATGAGAAATTTTTGCCAAGGATTCATATGGAGATGGAAGCATCAGCAGGTCCTTTATCCAGATTATCCAGATGTTTATGAGCAAAGTTTATTCATGGTTAGATTAAATTACGAAGATTTCTAGTGAATATAAAGCAAAGCAAATATTTTTCCGAATTTTCGCCACATAATTTTTTTTTCAACGTTTCCAATCGGATATTAGAAATTTCAAAAAATAACATTTTTTGGAACTTTAAAAAATTGTAATGAAAAACTGAAATTTTAGTTAAAAGTGAAGTTGTCTTATTAATTTCCCCAAATGTTTGTGAAATGCCAAAGTTTGCGAATTTCTTCACACATTCATTAAATAAAAACTTGATCGAAAATATTCTTTAAAATGGGATATAGTAAAAGCTGAGTGGTCACTGCTCAGATTGTGCTGTTAACAGGTAAGGGTTCACTCTTGGCAGGGAGAGGGGAAAATTTGTTATCAAAAAATCGCGCAGTGTTTGCAACCCAAATGTGCTGACATCGCCAAGTGAATTCGTAGCAAAAATTTCTCTTCAGCAACAACTATCAAAAATCTAATCTAATCTAATCAACAATGGTGAGCACTAACCTTTTACTTCTTAACTCACATATTATCTACGAAAATCCTTAATTTCCTTAATTGCTGCTAGGCTTTACTAGTTAGATTATTATCTTAAAAACCAAAAAGTTTGCTCGTAACCGGGCATCGTGTTTGTGGGTGCATAAGAGCTCCATTGTTCATTATTATTTACGCTAATTTACCGGAGTTGAGACCAAACGAAAAAGGACATAATTACTTAAATAATCCATTTTAATCCTTGGTTGAAATTTTTTTAAATAAATGAAAGTTGACTTTAAAAATATCGAAAGTGAATTACTTTTTCATCAGTTCTTTTTCATTAGTTTTTTAATTTATGTATATATTTTTCTCGGAAGAAGAAGGAAGAATGTGCTTGAAGGTTGAAAAATGCATTAATGATTTTTCAACTATGATTGACTAAATGGGAAAAAATTGATCGTGGCGGTTTCATTTTTGCATTTATTCCAAACTCACTGTTCAAATTTCCAATTATTAATTGTTTCTTAATATAAATGAAAAGCTTGCTGAGGAATTAGGAAAATTTGCAAAAAATATGAAAAGTTTTTTTATGGCATAAATTTTTGTTTTTACCAAATTGAAAAGTTGGCACTCACCATTTATGGTTAAGCTATAGTAGTATAAGTGGGTCTTTTTAATGACAAATTTACGAGGTAGGGAATCATACCTGTGATAATCAATGCAAATCGAAGTAACCACACTTAAATTTTATCAACTTTGTATTTGTAGGTTTTTTAATTAACTTTATTAATGACCATTTTTCCAACAATTAATTTGTTCAAATGAGAGCAAGATTATCGTTTCGAGTGTCAATGTTCAGGCTTTGTCTTCGGCAAAAATAGGCTCATCTTTGGAAAATTCGGGTGTTGCTGCATACCTCTCTACTTTTAGCCAACCAATAACTATACTAAGAAAGTCAGCAGCGGAGTATTAATTAATGTATTATTCGTATAATTAATTCTTAAAGCGATTTCACCGCTTAATTCTTAATTTTTTGCAATTTACTCATTTTAAGAGCAAAAACAGCGTTAATTGCAAACTTACTGCACTTTTTAATAAAATTACAAAAAAAACTTTACTTTACTCTACTCTACAACTTTACTCTACAACTTTAATTAATTACACTTTTCACAAATTATATTTACATATTTTACATATACCTTAGGTATATCGGTTTCAGTAATTTCAGACATTTATTTTAGTCGTACAGCCATTTGAAACGCACTCTTTTAATTGTGTTCGCAATACTCATATTAGGGAAAACCTAGATGAAAAAAATTCAGCGAAGCTGCAATTTATAATTAAATGTCTCCTCACTTGTGGAAAAAGATTACTGTAAGACTACCCTCATAAGTGCTTCGATAATATCTCGAATTTCGAATCGGTTGGAATTAGTGTTTTCTTTTTTTTCTCGAACTTTCTTCTCCTAGTAGCCCACAGCATTGATGATTTGACTGGTTCCACTAACTATAGGTAAAAAGCACTTCGCGACTTGACGCTATGCCTGAATTTGACTAAAGCCATTTCTTTTTCAAGCATCTATGCATTCAAAATCTATTCTGGTCGTATCGCTATGTTGAATTAATTGGGTTTTATTGCTTTTGAAATCATTGGCCACAAAATTTGGCATATAAAGAAATAAGCATCAATTGGGATAGACAATGAAGAGCGCGATTTAATCAAAGCAGGCAGTTTTATTGCAGTTCCATCGATGCACATATTTGAAAGAGAAAATATCCGCAGAGCAATCATATGTCATAAGCATGAATGGTTATATAGGCAAGAAATTTGCCACTGTTATTATTTAGGTTACATGAATGGATGAAGTCAGATGGCTTCCTGATGTTACATCCATAATTTCTCTGAACCGTATAATCGGACTGCAGCTAAATGATATTCCGTTTTAAGATTGATTTTTTTGCATTTTTGCAGACCAGACCAGACGGCCAGATGGAAGACAATTTTAGCTAAACTATATGACCCATACATCCGAGTATTGCTTGAAAATCGTTTTGTTTAAATGATTTTTGCATTCCATTGGTGTTTTTTTAACTATTCCAGGAAATATGGAAAACTGTGGTGAAGTGAAGATTAAATGGAATCATCATGGTGTTAAACACAGATTCAGCATTTCACATATCCAATTGGAACGAGATGTTTTTGAGGCAAGAAATTTGCCACTGTTATTATTTAGGTTACATCAGATAAAACAGATCAACTAAAAAGATAACCTTTTATAATGAAAATTATTTCCAGCAATTTTTTTGTTAAAATAGCGAAAAAAAGACAAACTATTTGAGAAGTAAGGAAGCAATTTTTAATGATCCATTTAAGTGGTACTTCGTGGGAACGAAAATGCCAAAATGCCGAATTGAATTCAGCTATGAATGAGTGGAATGTTACAAATTTAGCCCGATAATCATGTTAACTCATTCTGAAACCGAGTATATCTCGATTATTTCCATTTTTATAGTGATTCAAACAATCACTGATGAATCAAAATTGTTAAAATTAATAGCCTGGTCAATCTTATTTTCTTCTAGCTTTTGCTCAATAAAATTCATTTATTTGAACCAGGATTCAATGGCATATTAGCGCACATAGATTCGAAAGGGAATAAGGTTTTAAGTGGTACTTCGTGGGAACGAAAATTATCATCAATTTACCATCGATTTTATCATCGATTTTTTTTCAGCTGCAAATATTTTTCAAGAAAGACAATAGATATGTCAAAGATAATTAATATACCGAGTTTCTCGCAAAAATTTTTTGTTGATTTTACGGCGAAATTGAACGTCCACAATCACATTTTATAAGGAATAGAAATTTTTTTCATTACTGCTTATATTCAGATAGTATTTGCAACTGATAAAGAACTTCGTGATTTGATTAGTCAAAATCGAAGAATTAAAATCTACACTTCTGCTCAAAAACAAAGCTTTAAAACGTACTCCCATCGATCGCAGTTTGTACCATTGGTTTGTTGCATTTTGTTCCAAAGACATAAATTTGAAGTCCAAAAATATGCTTATGATTTTCATTTCATTGTTATTTTATTAATAGCAAAATCGTCAAAAAATTGCAGGACCTCAGTTCGCATTTGCACAAGAGTATAGCACGCCTCGAACAAAATCCACCTCCTCCTTATTCCAAATCTTTCGAAGATGCGATCACTTCAAAAGAACTAATGATTCGTTCTTTGCGAGTGACTTTTTATTTTAATCATAGGCATTTAAATGGATTTTGGCAATTCAAACAACTTATGCGAACCAAAATTAACTTCTGATAATATAAAAATGATAATTGCTGCATATATGAGAAACAAAAATAAGGTTATTAGCAATCATTCAGTGGGTTTGCCATTATTTCGAAGTGCTGATGTTCTTGAGAAAATCCGTGGTTCTCTGGTAAAATTTCTCTGACCAAGTCAGCTGATTGAGCCAGAAATGGTGAGCCGTCTTGCAAAAAAATAAAAAAATATTTATAATATTGAATTGGTTACCAATTCTATATTTCAAATTTGCCCAAAATCCAATTTTAATCCTTTAATTTCCTTGATAATAAAAAACCTGTCATCAAAATAAAACCCGTACGGTGACAGCTTTTCTTCCATCGAGTAAAAATTATTTTGGCCGTCAATGTTTCTGTATAATGACTATATTAAAATTAATATTTCATTTTCCTTTCTAACCATATCAGCTACTAACTAGTGGAAGCTTCATATAAGCTCCATATCAACTTAAACAACTTCTTCAATATTACAATGCTTTTTAACAATTTTGATTAACGAATATCTTCCTCAAGCACCAACTTTAAAAGAGTTGTTTGATAGCAGATCAAAGCCTAATCCAAATGCACTGCTTGAGACATATACCAGAGAATTCAGTACTGACAAATTTTCAACATTATTTATTTACAAAATAAAATAAATTACTTTGTAGAAAATAACTTCAGAAAATTTGGGTAAACCTCCTTAATTCAACGAATTTTCAAATATTCGAAAATTATGAAGCGGAAGCACTACGATGAAAATAAAAACGACTTTACAAACTTGATGCTAATGCCCACTTTCCAGTGAATGTATTTCTTGATGATGTAGTCCTTTTTGTTGACGAAATGCTAAATTACGTGTCAGAAATTGCAGCGAGAATAGGACTAAGAATCAATGTAAATAAAACAAAAATCTTTTCGTCTTATATGCAAAAAGCTGATAAAATGCCTCTTTATGTAAATTCATTACCGACTGAGGAAATGCCCAATTTTAAATACCTTGACCGAATGACCAGGTAAAAAACGAAATTACAACTCGGACAATATAAACAAGAAATGTGTCCTTACTGTCGACGAAACCTTTGTGGAGCTGTCGCGACATCACCATAAAAATAAACTGCATCTGTGTTGCCGCGATTCCTTCAACCTTGCTGTATAGCTATGAAACATGAGAGCGAAGGATTTTAAGAAATTATCATCTGCTTTTGACCATTCATGTCTAAGGTAAACTTTACTGGTTCGCCGAGAAAGATCTCTCATGATTGTATTCATCTTCCTTCAAATATTATTTGCATTAACAGTAAGAGGATCACCTTCTCTGACTAGGGTACATCCTTCGTGGCCCACCAAAAAAGCTTAAGCATATTTCGATACTTGCTAAGCCTTGTGATAAGAGATGCCAAAAGCGAGCAGGAAAAGTCGAGACCTAGACTGATACTGCAAGAAAAATTTTGAACGTATACGAGTACCAGCGACACATTGACTCAGACGATAGAAAAAGGAAGGACATCTATTACTACTGACAATGGCATTAGATCTCGCAACTCGGATATGTCTTACCCTTGCAGCCAGTGGAACCATCCTAGCCAGCGATGATGAGGGTTACTAAAGGAATGTATAATTGGAGAATTCGAGCAAAAAATTTTCAAAATGAATGGCCGGATTTTTTTTCTTTAATGATCTTACAGATATTGCAGGTTCCGCCGCCATGTTACTCTACTCCTAGCTGTTACACCCGGTCACTTTTATATGTTTCGCCTCCAGAACCGCTAATTATACGTTCTCTATTGTTTTCACCATCTTTGGTAGCTGCCACAGCTACTGCCCTCAATTTTCCATGTGCTATGGTTGTTGCGACTTATGGAGTGGAATGCGCCGCACAAGTTTTTTTTCATTAAAAGCGAAGATTCCAGTATGAAAACCTCTTTAATGCCAAATCCGGAATTCCAGAATTTCCATAGAAATTCTTTGTTGCAAATTTTATTAAATTAACGATTCGTATGAAATCATATCCACAAACAAAAAAATCCATTAGTGAAACGCCACTTAATACACCATCTACTCATCTTATTTGCTATATTGAAACAAAAGTAGAATTCGGAAACAGATGGACTGCAACTAATTTTACATGGAAATACATTAAAATGCCGCAAATATTGTCGGGTTTCAAGAGACGACTTTAATTTTAAACACAAATTCGTTTCAACAAAAATTTCATCTTCCTCGAACCTAACTACAATGTGGTTTAAACTTTAAGAATTAAGAACAGATTTCTTTTAATTCGCAACAATTTTCGACAAATAAAAAACTGAAATCATTTGCCAAAAATTTCCTAAATTCGCACTGAATCAAAAAGTAATCGACTTTGTTCTCAAGATGAAATTAGTGATTAAAAAAATAAAGAAAAATTAATGTCCCAAAATCCGCCACTGAAATTTCAATTTAATTTTACGTGACATGTCAAAAAATATCAAAAAATTTTCGATAACAACAGAAAACAAAATTCAATTTAAATTCACTTAATACCGCTTTTTTTCTTAGCTCTATATTCAGCTACTACAACAGCATGGTCTCTCTCATAAGGTTCCAAAGTAACTTGCTCCCGAGGCTTAAACTTCTCCTGCTTTAATTTATTCACTTCTCCAGCAAAAACTGCTTCAGGCTCAGCAGTTGAATCAACACAATTAGCCTGAAAACAAACAAAACATTGGAAACTTGGAAACTTCAAAAACATCCTCGTTAACTGAAACAGATAAGAACATGGCCTCATTCCATAAAAATACGCAGTTATATGATACCTTAAATTTCTGATTCACTTCCTAAACTTAAAAAACGAGGAAAAGTGAGCTAGGTTAACCATCAAACTTCCGAAAGCATATGCACAACTTAAATTTCTTTCAAAAATTGAAAACTCGTACATTTCACCATACTGGAAAATAAGTTCCATTATACCAAAATTTGCAGATAAAATAGCAAAAAAATTAAAACCTTGATAGACATAACGGCGTGACCCCCGCTCTTTAAAAAATTGTGAGCATTAAGAGCAACAATACGTGCTTGGTCCGGTTGAGCTACATCGGAAAATATTGTATCAACCATTCCTGAATTTTAAAAAAATGAATATGATAAATGGCAAATATCAGACACATATGAAATGACGACTAAACGGCAAAAAAGCAAATAAAGCAAAAGTTTCAATTGTATAATCGCTGAAAAGGCACCGGTTAATGTCCCTAAAATCTCAAAATGATGATTACATTTTAAAAAAATAAAACAAATAAACCAAATAAACTGGCCTACGATCATCCGGTACTTTTGAGGGTGCCGAGCGTCTTCAATGATTGGAACAATATTGGGTCGTTTTTTAGCCACATTTATCAAGTCGCGACCAGATCGATAAGAAAATTCCACAGCGTATACTAAACCATCCTGTAACACATTTCCGTGCCATATTTTTTCCAGAAAGATATTTGTTTTCCAATAATGATAGTAAGAACTATTTAAGCACACCTGTCCCACCATATCAGAACAATGCGAAACAGTAGTTCCTGAAGCAGCACCCAAATACAGAAGCTTTGTGCCGGGTTCAATGTGCACGCTCTCTAAACCTCCTAACATGGCCGCAGCCAACTTCGAACGAAAAGGATTCCAAATACGATATTCCACTTTTCCTTTTTCGTCTTCAACTGTAACACGTTTCTCACCATAAACTGAATCGCCAATAACCATATTTCGTGTAGCCAATGCATCCTCCTTGCCTTTTACGATAAATACGCCTGAAGGAAAAGAATTTTTAGAATATTTGGGAACCATTTAAAGATCGTCTAAATTTTTGAGCACCTTCATAACGATGAGGCTCGATGATGACTTTTTTTCCGCCTTTCATTCCACCCCTACCACCTCCTGGAGCTCCACGCGGAAAGTTTCGCCCACCTCCTCTTCCACCAAAACTGCAAAGCAAATCCGATAATTTTCAAAACAACTTACATCATTCAAAATCGAAAATGTAAAACATCAACAACAAATTCATAACTGATACAGTTGTACTTAAACAGATACTATTATTTAGTATAAATGGAATGCTTTTTTGACAGAGCCTACTACTAAATTCGATTGAAGGAAAAGACATCGAAGTGCTTAGTCAACAGCCGAATCAGTCAATTCAGACACAAAAAAAAATTATTACTGGTTAGAAACTAATAATACCAAGAGATCTTAAAATACAACTGAACTTACGTTGATTTCATCGAATGTTACGTTTCATATGACGAGAAAATATGTTAAAAGCTACGCTAAAACCCAGTTCAGACATATAACCCCAAATGATCTTAATCGTAAACGGACAAATAATTTTCAGCACAATGAACATAAAAAGACAAGTAAATTTTGAAAAATTGAAGTACCTTTACCATTCATATTAAAGTACCTTTTCCATTCACGTCATCAAATATACAAAAAATGAGCAACAAAGATCCATCTGAAAAAAGTAGAAATATGTTACCTGCCTCTATTCCCACGATCACCACCACTTTCGCGATTACCACCACGGCCTCCTCTAAAACCACCACCACCACCATTCCCACGACATGAAATAACTTTATTCATCAAAATACGAAAAACAGACGAAAAGAATAACCACAAAAAAAGGAACTGCTTATTTTATTGTTAATAATTTAATTATAACAGTTTTATTCATTATAACAAAACCGCTAAAACACTTATTCAGTTATTAATTTCAATTTTTAAAAGATTCTATCCAGTAAAATCTATTTAATTGAACTGCCAAGTCTAAAAATGGGCAAAAAACAATTAAATGAGATTTTTGAAAATCTGTAAAGCACAATACCTAAAAAACAGCAAATAAATATAAACAAATAAACAAAAGTTTTAAAATCAATATAAAACAAATGAAAGAATGTAATTTGAGATAAGTTCCAATTTTTATCCCCAATTTTAACCTCACCGCTTTTTAAAATATGAAAGCGCTTAGAACCACTCAGTTGAGATTCTATTTCTCCTGTAACAAAAAAAATATAGGAAGCTTTTCCTAAACAAAAATCAAAAAGAAATAAAACTGAACTGAGAAAGAAACTGACCATGACTGACTCCTGCACCTCTTCCTGAAAATTTCATTCTCAGTAAGTATATTTTAACTTCTATTCTATAATAAGTCAGCATGGCACTTGAAAATTGAAAACTGAAAAGTCACTAAAGCAAAAAGCGAAGGCGGGAAAAAAATAATTTATTGGTATCACAATAAGTAAGCAGGCACTCATTTATTACAAGATGGATACAAACTTTTAACGTTACACAGCTGTAAACTTAATTAATTAAAAAAAATCATCACCATGAATACTCCCACGAAAACTGCTACCACCACCACCACCACCACGACCGAATGGGCCTGAAAAAATATTTTCGATTATTTTGTATCATATCATCAAGAACTGCAACCAAAATTAAAATAATTAGATTACTCTCAACTTAATAGCCGAAATTTGAATGAGAAAAAATCTATGAAACGTCGAAAATCTTAGTATCTCTATTTATTTATTACCCGAATAAAATCCGATGTAACAAAACCAATCTATTTCAAAGAACATCTAAATTGGTACGATATCTTTCGAAAAAATATTGTCTTATAAAATAGTCAAATTTTTTATTCGACATTTAAAATCTGAATATTAACCTTTTCTGCCTCTCCTAGGAAAATCTTTATATGCCATTGTTCACTGCAATAAAATTTCATAAAAAAAGAAATAAAATATTTCCCGTTTAATCGTGTCATCATCGCCTGCTTATATCGTACGGAGCATAGGATGACGCACAATTCTGTAATACTTTTGCTTTCTTCGGCTATTCTTGCCTCGAATTTTCATCTCGCTACTCCCTAACAATAATTTATTGGCCCACAACCTGCATTTTTGCCGTAAAACCATGTTTAAAAATTGAGACATCGACCAACGAGACATTCGCAAACGGAAATAGCAATTTTTGCAGAAAAAATTTTCTACGAAATTAAAAGAAGAGAGCCAATTCTTTCGCGAAATTATTTAACTCAGAAATAGATTCGTGGTTTTTTTTACAAAAGTTTACGAGAAGAACTTCACAAAAATTTAAATTTTTCCTAAAAATATTCTCTTCAATTAATTATAAATTTAATTATTAGTACAACAAATTTATCCAATTTTTCGTATACCTTCGCATTAAATCAGCTGCTTCGAAAAAATGACAAATTACCGACTCCTACCAAATAACGGAAAATCAAAATAAAAAACTAACACGCAAAAATGACACCAAACATTCTACAAAGTCGACCTAAAACATAAGAAATTTCGCAATTCACATGCCAAAATTCAAAAGTATTAAAGGGAATCACTTTGGAACCCATATTCACTAATAAAAGCTACATTTCATCTGAGTTTTCACTAGTTTATTAATAAAGCCCGAAGGGAGATAAGACAGCAAAGTTTATAAATGCAGCTCATAAAACTGGATACTCATTTGATATTCCCTTAGAACCTGTTTATTGACTTAACCTCTTCGAATTTTGATGCATTCCTTTGATTGCGTTCGTAAAATTCTCAAATTCGTCCTATATTTTCACATGACACCGTTGTTCTAAATTTTGCAGTTTTTGGCAAAAGGCAAAATTTTGCGGAATTTTAATAAAAGGAGGAGGACGAGTGAAATTAAGCTGAGCTTGGAAAAGCAAGTTAAAAAGCAATTTAAAGTACCAACAACGGATTATGGTTAAAGAATACTGCAGAGTATTGCGAATATTAAGTGAATATCTGATGCAACTTGGAAAATTTTCGCATAAAATACGATATGGACAAAGGGACTCAACGAGGTTTATCAGTACATTATGGTACCATACGTTTAACGAAGCTAACGAAGTACAAGGGAACTGAAGGATGCGTTACTGTAGGGTTTTGGCAATAGTCTGGAAGTGAAAATTTTTAAAAGTGAAAATAAAAATGAAAATTTTTAAATGGAAATATGTTTAAGACTATTCGATTGGAATTTATGAATTACATGAGTATGAGAGTTTTTTGCTGGCTTTTAATTTTATTTCTAATCCTTGTCTAATTCTTTATTTCACTTGCAATCTCAAATTTTTGCAATTTTTTTTCTGAAAATTTATTTGCTTTCATAAGGAGATCGAGGAGAATCTATATGCTTATTTGCGATAGTGTAATGAAAGTAATTAGTACACACCATCTCTCATTAGATTAGCTCCGCTGGGTTTTTTTAAGAACCCTCACCATTACTCGTTAGACTCGCTTCACTGGTTTGTCCTACTGGTCAAATATGCCAGGGAGTTTCTTGTAGAAGTATCGCTGAGTCGCCAGCATCACCTGGATTCTTAGATAAGTTTACTCCTGCACAGAAGTAGAACTTCAGCATCGTCACTCTTAATTGAGCAACAAGCCACTGAGCCATTCTACGCTCCTCTAATGGCTTTTAGCACTGTTAGAAATTTTACCAAAGAATCACGTTCTTTTGATCCGCACTTTTTTTTTCAGTGAAACTTATACTGCTGTGAAGGTGTAATTTATGATGGTTTTTTCTCGAACTGATTATATGCATTCAATTTCGGCTTTTTCAACATAAGAATTAATCATTTCACTGTAGTGCCGTCATGATTGGCTTGGAGGTGATTAATTTTAGATTTGTGGCATTTATTGATTTCAGAAATTTTGTCGAATGAAAGTATCGATATTTTGGCATCCTCGAATTTATCATGGAATTTTAAAACTTCATTCCAGTTTTTCCTCTTTTAATGTTGACTTATTACTTGATTGAAAAGGTGTGAGCAAATTCTTCACCGTCTGTTCTTGAACTATACATAATATTCTCTTTATAATGCTTTGCACGAATTCAACCATCTGTATGGATTGACAACTGTGTAGACTTCTCACTGTCGAAGATCACTTCATCAGAATAGTCATCCGAAGCACAAGGCAAAGCTTCAGCCCGTGATATCCTTCTTGGCACTTTTTCCTTATTTAATAAATGATGGCTAAGGCTGATACTTTGTGATAAAGTAACCTTCCATTCACTGTCTATCGATGAAATATTTTTTTCAGAGTCTTTCTAAATCTTGATTCAATTTCTTACACGCGACTCTACTCGCTGTGCCATAACTATTGCGTTATAAACAAGCAGGATCAATTCAATAAACCATAAAAAATACAATAACTTTACAGCAATAAAAGCTCCAGCAAATGTTCCATATTGACTGTTAAAAATATAAAAAATATAAAGCATATTCCTCATTTTTTGTCTTTTTTTACCTTTAAAACACAGTACAAAACAGTACTTTTCCTTCTCTTAAAAAAATTTTTTTTTGAAATAATTTATTGTGCGGAAAATTACAGTTTACGATAATAAATGAATTAATTATTTGACAGATTCGAAGTAAACAGCGAATGTGGTTAAGGTTAAGAGTTTATTTAATAATATTCAAAAAAAAGTGAATATTGGCGACGAGGAGTGGTTTTTAAAACAGCGAAGGCGAGTGTTCGTTCGTCCAAAAAAATATGACTCCTGCTGAGAGCCATTAATTGCCGATTTGGGTTGGGCTTACAATCGCACTGATCGTTAGAAAATTATAAAAAAATTAGTTTATTTTTATCCAAGAGGAAATTTTCTCGTAGTTATTTTTTTGATATATAAATAAGATGGTTTAACAAATTAGTAACAAATGAATAAAGAAAAGAAGAAAGATTTTTTGTATGATTTGCATATTGAATAGTTGACTATTTATAATGTGAGCAAGCTTTGTTAAAAAATGTTTTCCCTTTTTTTATGTGTTTTTTAAATGTTTTATGAATTCTTTTTTTTATGAATTCTTGCAGTATTAATTTTTTTTAAATTTTTGGTTATTTCCGACATTTATACAATTTTTTATATATTTGCACTTGTAATTTGCATAATATTGTAAGCTCAACTCACATGTGGGCAATAATATGTATGCAAGCTCTTAGAATTAGTGGAAGAACTTGAGGAAACAACAGTTTCCACCACTGGAGTTCAACGCAACATTCCTCCTCCTTAACGTAAATTTATTTGTCTCCTCAGCCAATTATTATTGTATTGTATTGTTTGCTAACGGTAAGTAAAATTTTCCCTTCCGATTCATCACAGCAATAACAAAACAATAGCCTTTTTTTCCGACACAAGGTGCTACTAATTTAAGCCTTTGCGATTTTTATTTTTGATCTATCCACTTATTTGCAGGTGCACGTTTCTTTAAAACATTCACCTTTCTAATCCTTGCCTTCAACAACTTTCACATCGTCAGTCAAATCGCCACTTGGCTGGTCCATTTTTTAATTTTTTATTTACTGATTCGTGTAAGACGACACTCCTGCTAATTTTCCTTTTAGTCCACCTTTTTAAAATTTGAGGAATAAATAGAAACAGCATGAATAAAGCGTATGTATGACAGATACAATCCAACTTCTCGTCGTCAAAAAATTAAATTAATGGATAATTTCTTAAATCTTTAATCTGCATATTTCTTAATTTAAGAATTTATTACTAAAGTCAATAGAAAAAAAAAGTTCACTGCAGTAGTTTGATAAGTTCTGTCGTGAATTCTAAGTAACTGTGAGTGAAGAAGCCCTTACGAAAAAATTTTAGAATTTTAGGATGTTAGCGTTATTTCTTATTTAAAAGAAATCAATAATTGTTTGAATGGAATTAAATGCAGAGTTTTTCAGGAATTTTGTTCAGCCGATTCTATTTAAGAATTTTTTAAATTTTCTATCGTATCTTTATACACAATTTTATATAAACTTATCCGCAAAATAAATTAGTTTATTGCAGTTTGGATTTCGATATTAAATGTTGTTTTCGTTATTAAAAAACGAAATAATTGTTTATCATATTATTAAGAAATAATATAAAACTTTCAATTAACTTGCCCCTTACTTTGGTCTTAACAAATGCCTACTCTCCACTCAAATCTAAGATACTTTTCGGGTTCGCCGATTGGATAAAATCTCACTTGATTGCATCCACCTTCGCTTAAATACCACTTGCATTAAAAGTACCATCACAGAACGTCGCCTTCGCTGGTTAGGGCACGTTCATCGTCATCCACCACAAGAGTTGACGCATATTTCGTTACTTGCTAAACCGTGCAATAGACGACTTCAAAAGCGGAGTAAACTAATCAAAACCTGATACGTAGGATTTCGAAAGTATAGGAGAATCAGCGATATATGAACTTAGATGATGAAAAAAGAATGGCTACTATTACTATCAGCGATGGCATCAGATCGCGCAGCTTAGGGATCAGCCTAACCAGTAATGGTGAGAACTGTTAGAAGAAGGACTCAAATCAATTTTGCGGAAAAAAATCGTTTGGAAGAAGCGCAGAAACATAACAATTATCCTTTCTAAATCTGCAAGAAAGATCTATGACCTACTTCAGAGTTCCAGAAACTCTGGAAAAAGACTTGCGATTACGATACAAAAGATTGACTACCGAGAATTCGCTTTACAAGTCGCACATATTTTAAATTTACGCATGAGAAGTAGCCAAAATAACCAAATCTTTTTGAAATGAAATCCACGTGACGGTGCAAAGCCTGTTTTTTCCACGACCTAATAATCTTATGACAACTGACAGTCAGCGCAGTCTTTCGCAGAAAAATGTGAGAAGGAAAAATTTTAGCAAAGTCGTGTTCTGTTGGCTATTATTATTTAATTCGAGTAGTTGTAAGCAAAATCATAGTGCTGAAGTTTTGCCCCAAATATTTAGCGGAACATTTTATAACAAGTTCTGTCCGATTTTAAATGCTTTAATTTAAATTGAAAAATTGTATAAATTTGAATTGAAAAATAGAGGAAACAGGATATGGTGCATCAAATTCGAGAAATTCGAAAATTCGCTTAAGTTATGTTTAGTTTAGTATGTTCTTTATTTCATTGATCCTTTTTTTTCTCGTTCACCATTTTCGCTTAGCTGGCTTATCTCTTGACCCAACAAATTGTAAGAGAGCACAGGTTAGCCACCAGTATCAGCTTTAATGGTCCAGTTTAATAACTGAGTGGAAATCTATTCGTAAATAAAATGAGCAAGAATTTCTTTTTCTTCACTAGAGCTTTAAAAAGAAGCTTTACAATTTGCGAATGTTGTTGACCATTGTCCGTCTGCGCATAATGATGTGACTGGGCCTTGAATAATGGTACCAAATGGACATAGTGCGATTGCTAGTGTCCCAGCTACGTATTCACTGTTCATTCCAGCCTGAAATTTGCTCTTTATTTCATTTATAAAATCACCCATAAGAATCATTATGCCAAAAATATATATCAATTAAAAAAGCTTTTATTTCCCCTTTTGAATTTTTATGGTGCATAAAAATTTTATGCAAACGTTCAAGTCATCACAAGTAAGATTTTTCGCCGTATGGATTGGATTTTACATATCTTTTCTTATTTTTCATTTTCTTATATACTAATATCCATAAATTTTGCGGCAAATAATACGATATAGTGTTGTAGGATATAAAAAATGTTTAAATAAGAATTCTTACTGGAATATATATTATATTAAGTGAATTGTTCTTGATTGCAGAGCACGGTTTTCCGAAAAGAGCAACACATTTACCTAAAACTTAAGAAATTGAGTAAAAAAAAGAACCTAAAAGTAAAGAATCAAAAATTTTGATAGTAACTTTTATTTTTCATCGACACTTTTTTGCGATCCAAATTCCATTTGCCCAATGATCGTATCAAGAAAAAGAAAAGTGCGGTTTTTTCCTGCTTATTTAACTTCGATCAGCTAAATCAAGACAAACCTAATGTGGTGCTCCACTCTCCATCTCGTTGACAGATTGAGATATATGGAAGATTAGGAAGATAACCAGTTTGGCAAATTTGTGTTACTATTGTTCCCACAACAAATTGTTTAGAAAAGTTAGTAGGTATATATAATGCTTTTCCGTTATTAAAATCGGGATATTCTCCACATTGTCCTAAAAATATTCAGTGAAATCAGCTGAAAACATAGTTTTTGGCATGGAAATGTATGTAATTCCGAATGGGTCAAGAAATTAGCTAAAATACCTTTAATTATCGGGAACCATGTAAAAAATAATAAAGTTTGAAGAAACTGATTGAATGTAAACATTAAGATTACTAAAATCTAATCATACTCAGTCTGAAGACTTATGATTTATTATAAAATTAATTTTCAATATTATTATTAAAAATATTTAATTATTCAATCAAAAGAAAAATGCGAAAACAGTATACATACATATGTCCTTTTATAATTAAAATATTAATTATTTAGTTAAATGTACACTTTAATAAATAGTTAATTTCAAATAAAGCTACAAAATGTTCAAATGCAGATCAGTTTTTGCATAATTTTCTTCGCTTAAAGATTCGGTATCTTCAATGGAAATAAAATATTAATAAAATAAACTCAGGCGAATCTACTTTGATTTTTATCTCTGGGTGACCATTGGCGAGAACCTCTAACTCGCAAATAGCCGGTGCATAAATTATGAGAGCTAAGGATAATTCTTCGCAAAAGAAACATGCTGAATTTAATACTGACAATAATAAATAATACTGACCAGAATAATTAATTTCAAAATATGAATTTGTATAAATTCACAACAAAATTATAAATTCTGTGAGAAAAATCTTAAAATTCTTAAACTGCTTTTATCAATGGTTATTGGAAGTTCAAATATAGTGAAAGAACTGGAAAAGCAGTAGTTTTTTCTTATGGCCTATCGTTTGCCAGATGAATTCTCAATAAAATTTAACAATCATGCGACTTCCTTTGTTATATACAAGACCATACCATACAGTCTCATCTTTTCGCAAATATTAGCAATATGCTTTTATTATCGAGTGGGGGATGGTGAAATCTGGAATCTGATTCGAAAATTTCATATCATTTTTTTGCAGATTAAATCCGACAAACACGAACACTATATTCTAGGCTTTGTAAGTAAATAATTTCAATCCCTAGAAGTTCCAAAAACATATAATTTCGCATGGATTAAACAAACCAGCATAATAAACCATAAGCGAGTAACCAGATGATTTAATGAAGTATTCAATGAGAATTTCTCGAAAATGCATCGATTACAACTCATTTGAGACAATTTCGCCAATGTCAACTTTAGGATTCTGGTTTACAAGTTAATAATTTTGCAACACATTCTATTCGAATAAAGTTATCAAATAAATAGATTTAGAAATTAACTTATTTGACTTTTATTTCAAAAAGTGAAGGTGAATTTGCTAATAGCTTTCAGTTTTTTGCTTAAAATTTAGTATCTTTTGTTTGCAGAGAGAAATATCCACATCTTTTTGTACATTTCAATTGATACTTTATTTTTGCCCATGAAAATTTTGCAAGTTCAAGCTTTGGTCAACTTAGACAGGTTCTTCCTTGCATATCCCTTTTGCTTCCTCTTAACTTTAATTTTGGCGCTATTAAAATTCAGATTTTCACCTATATTTCGACAACGTTAGTCTATATGGAACCGAATTCATTCATTCTGTATTCACAATTTGCAATTTTTGAAGCAATTTGCAATTTTTAAATGCACATTTAGTCTTCATTTTTCGACATCCATCTTGGCTGGCTTCGCTGCCTACTAATGTAACGCTTGCGTTGTAGAGATAAATAAAAGGAGAAAAGAATCCATTACGTTCAAAAATGAAAATCGCTAGCATAATAACTAATCAAAAATTCATGGAAAATGCGTAAACAAAAACATAAAGTATTAGATTGTTCAAAACACCAGAAATATAAATCATGTTCAGCATTCGCCTATTTCTCGACATCGTCATGTAAATTATCATCAATATCTTTGACCGCAAACAATCAAGAAAATATTACATCAAAATTTTGAAAACTCGAAAGATATCGGTTCATATATATTTGACTTATAAAATCCGCATAAATTTAGAATAAAAAGCATGGAAACAAGATCACATAATCTAATGGAAATATTTACTTAATAAAATTGAAGCCTTTGCTCAAATTTCGAATGCTTTAAGAAAAGAAAAACAGGAATAATCTATAAAAAAATAACACCGAATAACAAAATGAGTCTGCATTGAATATAAGATATCAGAAAATATTCAACATATTATTGTGGCGATTCCGATTGGTGGAGAGCAATTCGCTTCATTTGATGCATTGTAGTGGAACTGTTGTTCTCCATTGATGAATTCCAAAAATAATGCATCAACAAGAATCAAAGAAAATGGAAAACAATTAAGATAATAAAATTAACATTAGTGAATACATTACTTTGATTTGATTAATGAAAGATTTTCTCAAAATTACTTTATTTTTATCAGAAAATTGAAACAAAAATCAAGTTTTATTTCAAAATTTTGCGCCTTTGTATTTGAACTATTTTTTAAATTTCTTTTAAAAGAAATTTTTTTTCAGCTAAAGGAGATTACGTAAGTCTGAACAAATTACCAGAAATAAGAAAGGTCAAGGACATAGGATAGGTGAGATGGAACTTCCCAACCGAATTCTTTAATTTTTTGGTCTTATTTCTCGAAACGTGTGTTCTTCTATTGTCATGTCGAAGAATTACACCTTTCTTTATACCCTTTCCTGCTATTGAGGTCAGTTTCGATGAAATTTATTTTTGTAAACGAGTAAATTTGCTATAATAAATAATAGTAATAGTAAAATAGCCTTCTGTAAGCTGTTGTGGAACGCAAACACTGGCCTTATCTGTATTTCCAATGGCTTGAAGATGACAGAATATTATCATAACCCCTTTATTTTAACAGAAACCTTCATCAATCTTTGAAAGATGTTCTACCAGATCTTTGAGTGTCCTGCAAATTAAAAGAGCTTCCAAGTTCAAAATACTCTGAACAGCTTCTTTATCCAGTGCCTTCATCATTTGTACTACCTGTTGCAGTCATGGTATGACTTACCCAATAAAACTCGTAGAATCTGCAGCATGCAAATATTTCTCAGATGGTACTTCACATTTCATTGCTGGACTACTGGAAAAATTTTCACTAATCTCAATTAAATACATTACATAAAGTTTATAGCGTCACATCACTAAATACTATGGTTTGCCTTTTTTAAGGAAAAACACTTCGGTGAAAATTCATCTCAGAGAAAACAATATTTTTGAGAAAATCTTCCTAAAATATAAACAAAGTAATGAACAAAATAATAAGTAATTAAAACCATATTAAAACTTGCTAAAAATAAAATACAAATGAAGTAATAAACAAAGAAATTACGAAAATTCAAATCATTGATGACCTACTCTTTCACCTACTTTTTCGATTTCTTTCGTTTTTCTCCCAAATTTTTCCGTTTATTCTCATACTCCGTTAAGTCCTTATCATCCAGCTGTATAAATCCACCAGTTTGTACTCGCCAAAAAGTAAAGTTGCTAAAAAGTCTTTTCTTAAAAAAAAAAAACTATAAACAAATTTCAGAAGCAAAAGACAACTCTGCAATTTTGAATTTCTAAAAAAACCTGAATTTCTCTGGTTTTGTAAATGACATTGATTTGAGATGAATAAATTTTTGGCTCATGGCTATATTTTTTGAGGAAGCTGGTGAAGTTTTTGGAGAAAGTGGAGGAAACATGTAGTCTACGGAATCTGCTGCAATTGACATATAAGAAGCTTCAAATCCTATTTTATCCGCACGCCGAACGCGACCATACTTGTCGATTATCAAGATTTTTTCTGGAGGAACACCAACTGCACGATATGAAACGACATCCTACAAACATAGTATTACAAAAAAATTTCTTCCACTAGAAATTATTTATCCAAGTTGAAGAATTTTAAATCTGAATGGCTGAAATAGACCGTTTCTCGAAATATGAATGAAGACATACTGTTTCTCGATTACCAAATCCAGCATAAAACGGTTCTTTCAGCGGAAAACATTTTTTTAAATCAGTTAGCGCTGCAATCTTGAATTCTTCAGGCTTTCGATCTATTACTTCCCTGTAAAAATAAAAAATACAAAAAGCAGTATAAAAATAAAGAAAAAAACACAAAAGAAAAATAAGAAAATTATTCCATACATTCAAATTAAACAAAATCTTCGTGAAAATAATATAAGTAAAATAAATCGATCGTAGCCACGTTACGCAAAACACTAACCTCCTAAATGCCACCAAAATTGAAGTCGGTGAAAGAAGTAATGGTCCATCTGGGAGTACTTTGGAATCTTGAGCAATACTTTGTAAGTATTTTTTTGTATAATGACTCTGCCCAATAGCACGAGATGACAAATAAACCATGTTATACCTACAGCACTATTACCATTAAGACTTTTGCATCAAACCATAAATCCCAATCTCAATCTGACTTTCAAAAAAGACAATGTTGTACTCGAAGAAATAATAACAGATAGAAAAACTGATGAGATACCCATTGTCTTTTATACGTGTGTATAGTTCGGCTACACCAGCGTGTGCCCATTGTCCACCTATTGCAGGAATTACATGTCCCAAAACATCGCTCCTAGTAATCGTACCGTCAATATCCGAAATAACGATTTTTTCTGACCACATATACAAATATATATTACAACTACACCAACTTGTTCCCTTAAAATTTGAGAATTTCATATATTAGACAAACATATTGTTACCTCAAAAATATCATTTTTCATTGAATAAGGTGAATTTTCAATAAAGTGGCAAGCACAGGTCATTTTCGATATTTACATAATAGTGTGACATAAGTGCTTCATTTAGCTATTTGGTAGAAATCTGCCGAGTGGTCCAGTAATAAAATGTATAGTATTATCTCAAAAACATTTGCAACACCGCATACTCTACGAATTTCACCAAGCAAATGCAACGACAGTAATAAAAAGATAAACATAGTGAATAGAAGGAGGTTAAAGGTTTCCAAAATTCCCGTTTCCAAAAGAAGTGATAATTTCAATGATTTACAGAATACTTAAGGATCTGATAATTTTCAATTTTCAAAAATTTAAGATATACCGTGCTCAGCGGTAGAAGATTCTTATCCAAAACAAACAATGGAAGATTTGGACTCTACTTCCAGCGCCAATGAGGAACGGCTTCTTCATTTTGTCGCCAGTGGAACAATTTCGTGCAAGATAATTGTTCCTGTCGCGGCGCTGGAACGGGCAATATTCATGGATCTAACCATGTTATGATTCGAGCCAAGATTCGCTTAAAATTGACAACTCACAAAAAATAACATTCCCAAAGATCTTTCAACTACCTCAAACTAAAAGATTTGGGGACAGTGAGTGCATTTCAAACCGAATTATTGAAACAACTTAATGAAATGAATATCAGTAATCTTGGGAACGGTGGATGAATACTGGTCTCAAATAAAGGAATATCTCCGAGAATCAACTGCTTCCACGCTAGGGATTACTAGTAAGAACTAATGTGCTTTCGAAAACAACTGTCCAACTGCCTGAAAACGATATCAAAGTACGAATGTCAGGAAATCCTGACTACTGGATGCTTCGAAGAAATCCAACGACAGCAGCATGGCAAGAGTAAGGGATAGCAATGATGCACCTGCTAAGAATATCAAGAATAGCCTCATAAGATGGAAGGAATTCTTTGAGGCCAAACTTAACAATGATAGGCCATCTGTTGACCTGACCACAGCTGATACGTTCGTCGAACCATATATTTGCGAAGCACCAACAGAAGAAGAAATAATCTCCGTTATCCATAAGCCCAATAAGACTCCGGGACTTCATAAAGCATCTTCAACAAATGTACTTTCGGCATGGAAGAAAGAAACATTACCAGATGACTGCAGCAAAGCAATCCTGCTCCCAATTCTCAAGAAAGATTATAGAACATAAGGCGACAATTTTTGAGGAATCAGCTTACTAGACGTCTTAGCGTAAATTTTTTCTTCCCTTTTACTCAACAAAATTATGGAAGTACGAGACAGCAGGATACGCTCTAATCAAGATGTATTCAGACCAAGGCGCCCTTTTTCTCACCAGATATTCACGTTAAGAAGGATGTTGAAAATCGTTTCAAATATTTGCGATTCACTGTTACGTATTTCATCGATTTTGCGGCTGCCTTTGATTCAATTGATAGAGCGGAGCTTTGAAGGGTGATGGAACGCGACTGTGTTCCAGAGACAATCATTCGATTCATAAAGGCATTTTATGAGCGTACGTCGGCGCTGTATATATGGGAAACTGACAAACCCCTTCGAAATAAGAACTGATATCCGTCAAGAGTGCGTCCTTCCCCCAACATTCAACTGTGCGATGGACTGGATAATAGAGACCGCTTGTCGGCATTGAAAAGGTGTCCAAATCAGTCCAGAACATCGTATCATAGATTTTAACTACGTTGATGATGCTGACAGTTATGACAAAATGCATACAATACTAAACAATGTATCAATAACTGCAGCAAAAATTGGACTCAGAGTCAATGAAAATAAAGCAAAAATCTTTTCGTTTTATGTACAAGATGCTGATAAAGTTTTTTTATAAATTCATTGTCGGTTGAGGAAGTGCCCGATTTTAAATATCTGGATTTACTCTAATACCGAATGGCCAGGCAAAAGAGCATATTACAAGCCGGATTACGGCAGCTAGAAATGCGGTCTTCCGCTTGACGAAACCTTTATGGATCCGTCATGAAATCATTATAAAAACTAAAGACCGTGTCTATATAGCCGCGATTCGTTCGATCTTGCTATGTGGTTACAAGAAATGGCCAATGAGAATGCAGGATACGAAGAAGCCATCAGCCTTTGACCATTCATTTTTAAAGTACATTTTACGGGTTCGCCAAGTAGATAAAATCTTACACGATCGCATCCACCTTCGTTCATTGCGAAACTCTGTGATAGGTGGCTTCAAAAGCAAGGTGAACCAATTAAGATCTAAACTGAAACGGTCAGGAAAGATTTTGAACATATAAGTGGATCAGCAATATATGGACTTAGACAATGAAAAAAGGAATAGCTTCTATTACTGTCGATGACGGAACCAGAAACGTCTTATCCTTATAGCTAGTGAAGCCAGCCAGCCTAACCAGTAATAGTGAGAGGCGTTAGATAAAGAAAACAATTAACTTTAAAATATAAATGAAGAATATATAAATCTGCCAAAATAAAATTATAAATTCTGTGAGAAAAATCTTAAAATTCTTAAACTGCTTTTATCAATGGTTATTGGTAGTTCAAATATAGTGAAAGAACTGGAAAAGCAGTAGTTTTTGTAGCAGTAGTAATAGCAATATGCTTTTATTATCGAGTGGGGGATGGTGAAATCTGGAATCTGATTCGAAAATTTCATATCATTTTTTTGCAGATTAAATCCAACAAACACGATATTATATTCTAGGCTTTGTAAGTAAATAATTTCTTATAACTTCAAATGATTTTTAAAATTTCAGTTCAATTTTCACGTTTTCAATAGAAATGCGATAATATTTTCGAAACAACCTAATATTTTTTTCACTAATGATGGCCAATAACTTTCAAAGGTAGTTAAAAATCAGTACAACCTCAAAAATTTCAACTTAAAAAAAGCTACATATCTTCTTAAAACCCCATTCCAACTGCAAAATATTACCAAAAAATTTTAAAAAAAGGCCGTTTGTTCCTCAAGGTAAAGAAAAAATTTATTTGTTTACCGTCAAATGGATAATAAAATTAATATTTAAGTATATGTTTAAGATATATATATATGTTTAAGATTTTTCGCATATATAAAAGATTTCTCATATATAGTTACAAACTAATTTAACCTGGAATCTTGTGGTAATTGTGAAACGTGCTTCGTTTGCTCCTCTTCGCAGACCGAGTTTTTTCAATTTCTCACTAGACAATTGCAATGAACGCTTATACTTTCGCTTATTCGGGGGAGCTTCTGATGTTGACGGAATATTATCATGTTCCTCGTCACTCATTATACTGAAACATAACTTTTAATAAATACAAATTTTTCACCAAATACAAAGAAAAAAAACTACAGTATAGGCTATTTATCCCTAAAGACATTTCATATTTACTCTGAATCACCAACTTAAAATTAAATAGTCCCACATACTGCCAAACCGCCAAACTTAAAAATTATAGCAGTAAAAGAACACTCACAATATATCACTTGAAGACGAAGCACTTTGTACTGTTTTTCTTCCATCGCTCTCATTAAAAACAGGGCCTGAAACCTGAGATGCCATGCCACTGGACTGAAAAACCGATTCTTCCACTTTCTGTCTTTCAGCTTTCTCCAGTCTTTCTTCATCGACCTAAAACCGAAAATAAATTACGAATTAATGCGTAATTATACCTTTTTATTCTGATTCACAGCATAAACAATTATTAAGAAATTTTAATTAATCTTAAAAATTAACATAAACAATTATTAAGAAATTTTAATTAATTTTAAAAATTAATTTTTCACTTCAGATGAAAGTGGGTGCATAGTTTCCACATCAGTCACTATAGCTGGCAAACTGGTGCCTACGATAGATCCATTGCCACTATCAAATGGTGGAGAGGGACTAAAAATAAAATAAACAAAATCAATAATAAACAAGTATTTTAGCAAAGATCATCTTGAAAAAAACTCAATCAGAAATAGTAGTAATAGTTATATTCTTATTACTATTTGAAAATATCAGTAAAATAATTTAGCAATAGCAAAATAGTTACGCAAAAATGAACCAGGCAGATGAAGGCATTCCTAGATATTTTTCAATCTGACTTGGATCAGTCTGCGAATTCAGCATAAGATCATCCAAATATATTCCTTGATCTTCAGTAGGTTTAGGACGAGACCATGTAAACCAACCACTCCATGAATAATATTCCTGATATATACTCACCAAATTTTTTATCGAATTTAAATGAAAATAAATATTAGTTTCAAATCTAGCAAAAGAAAAAATAAAGAGAAATTAAAAGCCAACAGAAAACTTTTTAATTCATGAAATTCATAATTAAAATACCATACATTCTTCTTTGGTGCAACATCTTTATTAGTTTCTATAGCAGTGCTATCTTTTATATCTGCTGCATTAATATCTTTCCATTTCCAAGCAGACTGCTTTCGTGTTTTCGGTAATTCACCCCAATTCCATTCAGCAACATCATGCTGCAAAGCTATTCCGTGATAAATGGAACTAACAATAAAACATGGATTTTCAAGAAAATATGATTTATTTCTCCCTCTCTCTCTTTTTACTATTATTAAGGAAAATAAAACATGTTAAAATTTACACTTTCCATGGTCCTCTTGTCGATTTCTGAATCTGAGAGTGCTTCTTTTAACATCGCCTCATTTTTTTCAGTTATTCGCTTTCGAATGACGGATTCTCCACTAGTAAATGATGACACGGAAGACTGATCATCATCACTATAAGATTCCTGAAAAATATCACTTTCACTTATCACTTTTTAAATATCACTTTTAAAGATTCTTTATAATAAGAAAAGTGTACGAACTTTTCCCATATCACAACTTACATCGTCTATTTCTTCGCGCTTTGTTCGCTTTAGACGTATTTTTAAATTTTTTGTCCTCCTGTGGGAATAAGGTGGTGGCGGCGTTAAACTTCGTTTTTCCGATGATTTGCAAATTCTAAAAATTCAAAAAATAAGTGATAAACAAAAAATATTCGGCAAAAAATGACTCATCATATTGATTGAAAAAAATGCGGATCACTACCATCTTACATATATAATAATCTCAGCCTCACCTAACGCCAAAAAGTCTTGAGGGATTTTAAAGAAAAAAGATGACAGTTTGCAAATCCTAAAAAAAAAGAAGTTGAAAGAACTTGATTGATTTAATAAAAAGATGGAAAATGAATATCTGAAAAAATTTTTGGAAAAAAGAAATTAGTCTATCTCATCAATAAAATAAATAATTATGGCAAATGTACCGTGATTCTGCAGTTCTGCGTTCTTTAGCAAGGTCATTTTCAATTTCTACTGTCTCAGGAATATTCGGTAAGGATCGGTTCATTCGTTGACTGAATATTGATGCTTTAAAAGCTAATTCTTTTTTCCATTTCTTTTCTGCGAATTCCAATTTTTCTAACCTAAAAACTAAGCAAAAAAAAGAAAAATAATCTTAAAAATAGGTATATAAATTGTTTAATTGATTCAACTGGGTAATTGACTGATTAGAATATTCTTTAACGGATAAAATTAATATAATAACGATCATTTAAACCATGAAAAGATTTCACCATCGAAAACAACTGACTCCTTTTCAACGCTGCTAATGGGAAAATTGGATGAAACAGATTGAGCTGCATTTGAACGCAGGGAATAGTGATCATTTTGCGACTGCTGAGATATGCCTAAATTACTTTCCAAAACCTGTAAATAAAATTCACCAATCACCACACTATATTTTTGGATAAAAAAATTCGGAAGGTAGTTCACTCAAAAATAATGTAAACCATAATTAATTTTCTACAGGAAATATCATTTAACCAATATAATCATATCCACCTCCCGTTCCCAAATTCAGTAATGAATCCAAGTTTGCCTAAACATCTAATCAGTTTCTTACATACTTAATCTAAATAACGAATGTGTAATAAGCATTGACTAACAGCTCCAGTATTAAGTGGACTGCTTCCTGGAATTGGACTTGTTGTTAGAAAATCTGGCACATCATCATCTGTTTGTTCGGCAAAAAAAGCGACGCCATTTTCACCCAATTTCAACTTTACATCGATAGGATTACCATTTATCGTTACGTCAACATACTACAAGAAAACAAAAGGTAGTAATCATCGCAGCGCCTACTATTTGCAACAATAGCCTTTAGCCAGATAAAACAGTTGCGCAGATTGCGCGGATTGATGCTGAATTCGAATTCCTCTCTTATCATTGGAAATCCAGGTTAACTTAAGTCGTTCAATACGAATAAAAATTTTTATTTACTTTTTCACTACTGTTGAGAACTCCATATTTTCCAAACCGAACATGAAGAGGAGTCGACTGATAGGAACCATCTGGTTGTTCTACTACAATCATATCAATTGCGCCTAAAATTTCATTTGTAATCAAATCATTTGTTTTCAAATGATTCAAAATAATATTTTCAGATCTACCATGAACTCAAACAAATTTCTAAGTCACTCAAGGATTAAGATTATTCGACGCTTACAGCTTGCCATATGCTAATCACTCACCACACAGGTCAGTTAGGAAGATTTATGATGCAGAAATGACAGTTCTAGATTGCAATATTTTGTATAACCAACGCAACAACAACAATTAAATCTTAAGTCAACAATTAAGTCAAATCTTTCAAGTGCATTTGTCGTACTCAGTTGTTAACCAAAAATGAATAAACTAAACCTACTGAAAACATTCTCGTCGTCTAAACAACCACTTTCCAAAAATTTTATTTCAGGAGTTATTATTTCTCAAAACCGATAAAAGTTTTACAATTTTAAAATTTTTAAAACAATTGATGTCTTAAATCAGAAGTATTTCCAAATAAGATTTAAAATTCAAAATTTTAAATGGTTTAAAATTTCGCAATAATGAAAAAATTGAAAATGACAAAATCATTGCTGAAAACTGGCAAAAAAACCCACTGATAATCACTGCTGAATCAACTACACATTAATAGCCAATTTCAAAGAGCTTACCACTTACGGTTGGCTTTTTTGGCTGAAAATTTTTGCCAAGTGGTCACTTGGCGATGGAAGTACATGTGGGCAGCCAGCACCTGAATTTTTTAATGATGCCGCAAAGCACGAGCAGAGCATCTGCTTGCTCAAATCTGCTTGCACATGATCAACCGAGCCACTTCCAGTCCGCTGTTCAACCGTTACGTAATAAAGAAATGTAAAAACGAACCAGAAAATGATGCTGGATTTATCGAACTGTAAAAAGATTGAAAATTCCGAAAAAAACTAAATGCGTACTCCATTTCCAAAGGCGACCGAAATGAAATTCACGAAAACTTAAAATTTAGAGAATGAACCGACGCAAAATTTTTTCACACAAAATAAAAATTTAAAAAATCGACAAATTATCGTATGATGAAAATCGTTTTAGGACAGAAAAATAAGAATTCATTATTATCATTATTCATTTCATTTTAATGTGGATTTAATAAAATAGAAGGATAAGGGTCGTGCTGCGTAAAGTTAGTCAAAGTAAACACTATCTTGGGATCTCTGAGGGTTTTGGTTTAGAAAATCGTAATGTTTCACCTACATAAGAGATTTGTCGCATAATTTTGCAGCATTTGCAGTTGTCTTCGCAATATTAATTTCGTAAAATGGACCAGAAAAGCCAGAAAATCTTTGTAGCTGTGCTTTCGAACTTCTTTACTCGTTTTGATATGCTAAAAATTACAGGTAAGCGATGTAAGTAAAGAACCGACTTTATTGTATTATGCACATTTATGTGTCTCTGCTACCACTTTGCCGTAGAAATTCGCCGAATAACCATTCAAAATTTTTTTAACAAAATTTTTCAATAAAGTCTCACCTAACTATTGAAAAATCATGCAAGAACTTTCTGAAGTTGTGTTAGTTATCAATAAAGGCAACGAAGTTGGAAATAAAATCCATCTGCATGGTCATGCCTGATAACCAACATGTAAAGTAAAATAGTAGTAGAATGGGTGGTAAGGGTCATCCTTATCTGGTTGACTGGCCAGTGGTACTCATTTGTCGATCTAGATGGAGAAGCTTCGCAGGATTTCTGCCTTATTTTTCTCCACGATTTTCCTAGGAATCTCCCATCAAGTTTTCAGAGTTTTCTAAGCCATATACCGAGCAGATGTTCCGGTAGATGGTGCCAGCTATTTGGTTATACTTTTTGGTGTGTTTTGTCCCTGCTTGCATTTTACATCCTGCCACTATGTGTTGGACTATGTATTTCTGGAGCGTTTTTCCACAGTCTGATGTCTAGATTCCTATCTAGTGTGGTCTCCATACCACATGTGGTAAATTCTTGTTTTGATGGATTTGGTGTGTATACCTGCTCTTATGCTGCTACGATCAATGTCTGTTTCTTTTAGTCCAGTTTTTTCCAACCATTAGTATGAATTCACAATGTCAACTACCTTAAAATGTCAATGGAGAGTTATCCATGGAGAGTCTTGCTTTGCCATAGTATTTCCTCTGCTTGATCGTTTTTCTATGTCTGTAAACGCTTCAGGCATTCTCTCAGCAGTTCATCTTTTTGTGCCTTCTTGCTGAATGTTTCGAATTTTGTGCAAAGCAATGGATTTCATACTAATTCCTATCCCACTCGCTTTCTTTCCGGCTGGTGTATAGCCTTTCAATGTTAACCCTGGTATGAAAATTTCCGTGTGTTGTGAAGAGTTTAGGGGTCTCCACATCAATCATTTTTATGTCATCCTTTTTCCATCTTACTATGCCACCCGCGTATCTGATGGCTGGTAAGACGTACATATTTATGGCATGGATTTAGTTCTTCCCAATGAGCTCTTCAAGATTTGTCTTGTTCTTTAGTGGTAGTCTTCCTTGCGTTCTCATCGTTGCCATGTGACTGTGAGGTACCAAGATAGCTAGCTTGTGCACCCGCTGTATGTCTTGATGGCAGATCCACCTTACTAGTTATTATTGCTTTTCCTTTTCTTTAATACAATCCGATCACATTTCTCCAATCCATGTGGCATCTGCAATTTTACAACGTTATGGGGAGGTCGAAATTTTTAAAAATGTTAGGTCTCGAAATGATATTATAAATCCAGTAGTCATTACGTGTTTTACCAATTTAGTGAGAGGCGACGAATATAGAATTTTGATTGGAGATTACTCTTAACTCATCTTGGTAAGTTTTTATTTTAATTCTTTAATGGGATCAGCTGGTGAAATTTTTCAATTCGTTAAATCAGATTTTTGGTAAAATTTCTATTGAGAATAAAATATTTAAACGTTTAAAAATTTCTTTATCTTCAATTGTAAAATAATTGTGAATTAAATATAATTTAATGAGAGTGAAATTGAATGGGCAATATAAAGAATTTTGGTTAAAAAAAATAATTTAAAAAAATGGAAATACACGGTTTAATTTGTTGAATTTTATTTTTTGCTGACATTTTTGCCGTAATTTTTTTCATCGTAGTTTTTTGCTCCAATTCAAACTCATATTTATATTTAAGCTTTAGCTGGTAACTTTGTCCACGTGAGCAGTTGACATTGTAATTTATCCTTAATGAGTTGTAATTGGATAACGTTATCTCTTTCGCTCCCATAATTGTTTAATCTGTCGATTTCTCCTTGCAGGTGTAATGTCTGATCCAGTGGCCGATTTCCTTGCAAGAGAGCAAGGCGTGCTTGCAGGTATTGATGATTACACATTGGACGTGGCACCTTTGGAGGGTGCACTAATTAATGGTATGTTGTGGTAATTAATTGTGCGCTTTAAATACTGCTACTTTTAATAAAATTTTTCTTTCTAATAAAATATTTCTAATAATTTTTAATAATTTGTTTACTAATCTGTTTTGAAAATTGTGAGAGGTAAAATTTTTTGTGGGTTTAGTGAAAGCTGCGAAATCTTCGAACTTTCAATTTGATAAAGGAAATTCGATAAAGGACTGATTTCTTGTTGAAACCGATATAAGTTGCGAATTCCTTTGGTGTTGTAGTGAATACTGTAAATAACTGAAAGTATCTTGGAATTTGCGGATTTGTTTACGAACTTAGCAAAAGTTATAGATTGCTTTGAAGAAAAATTGCCTAAACAAAAAGTTTATATGTGAAAGTGAGGTCATTTTACATATAAATATTTTCACATGGAAAACTCACAATTAATTAATTGTATTTATAGTAGTTGCGAAACATAGGTACACATGAAACGTAGGTAAAGAATTGAAGAAATGGAAATCTTGATTTCATTGGAAATAACTGGCTTACTTCAAATATAGTTAATATAAACTTATATAGTTAATATAGTTTTATTGGCAAAGGCAATGAAAATGAATTTGGCATTTTTCTCGATAATGAAATTCTTTATATTGCTTGTAGAAGGGAGCAGTTTCGATTAATTTTCAGTTTTTTTTTAGTTTAAGAAGTCGACAGGGATTTTTCACTTTTATTTAGTTTAATCAAATTGTTTTTTTTTTCCGGTGTTTTAAGAGAAATTAGTGTGCTTAGTTCTTGTTCATTTTATTCTTGTTTCAATTTGGGTCGTATTTAGGACCTGATTTTGTTAATAATTTCGTTGGTGCAGTTGATTCTGAACTACATACTCATGAACAACGGTCTGTAGATCAAACAGCGACATGGATGAGTACAGGTACAACACCATCCCCACTCACGGTAGGCTCTTCTCCAAAAATTGAACCTGAAAAAATTAAAAAATGGCGCGAGGATCAGAAAGAAGTACTGGAAAGGAAAGGTATTTGGTTTCAGCTAAATTCTTTTGCTCTTTTGCTCTACCACAGATTTTTATGAATATAGATGTTTAAGTAAGGTTTAAAATTCAAAATAATCTATCTAATACTTTACCGCTAAAATACATTTTTCAAAAATATTTTCTTATATATTTTAAATAGTGAATGGTGATGATGGATGAGGAATTTTTCCAGAAAATTTTTCTAGATGCAGAGGAAGAGAAGAAGAAGAATGAAATGCGTGCAACAGCAAAAAAAGAAATGAGTGATTGGTATAATCAGAGAGAAGACAGGCTAGTCAAGACCAAGATGTTGAACAGGTTTAAAGTCTTTTTTTTCCTTTAATAAGAGGTGATCTTCATATTTAGGATACATAAAATCATATTTCTGGTGAAACAATTTCAAATATAAAGTCCCGAATCTATATTTCAGCTTTTGCTTAGAATTTCTTTGTAAATTGTTTGTAAATTATTATCTTAAATTATTAAAAATAATTTGTTGCTTGCAATAATTTGTTGCAGAAAAGCCGAGGAAGAATTCATAGCAGATCGTGACTCAGTCAAAGAAGGTGCAGAATGGGAACGTATTGCCAAACTATGTGATTTCAACGTTAAAAATTCAAAGAGTGCTAGTGACTTGTCACGTTTGAGATCATTACTTCTCCAGCTGAAAGGTCGAAAGGAATAAATACGATATTTCACCTTATTCTGTTTCAGATCTATTCGTGAATGTGATTCACTTGTCTATGAGATGAGAATTTTAAAAAGTTATATCATGCAATCTTCGTTTTAAAATTAAATGTGAATTTATTTCTGGAATCGCGTTGTCGTTATTATGCATCCCCTTTTTTTAATCTTATCACTTTAAATTTTCTTTATAGTTAACCAGTCTAATAATCTACTGCTGAAATATATTTAAAAATATTTTCTTTTTAGATATTTCATGTTTTGCTATCGTTGTTGTAATTTCGTTCTTCTTTCATAGATCATCCTAAAAATTTAGTTTTTCTTTGATAAATCTGAAAACGATACGCTTGTGATTTGAGATATGAGGTTAACAATTATACAGATTAATGTATTTCGACTGTTGTGGTATGTTGTTTATTCACGTTTTTTACAATCAAGTTTCCTTCATTTTTCTTTTTTTAATGATTTTTTCTTGAAATATACTTAAAAGTTCGTTGGGTTCATTCACTTTCACCATGAATCGTGAATCATTTCATTATTTAAATATTTATATTTTTAAGACAAATGAATTCATTGAAATCAAAATATAGGAGAAATTGGAATGTATGTTAGGGAGCGTTAGACTATTCGTTTTTTTAATGGTAGTCATCATTTTTGGTTTGGTTTGATCCACTGGCTATTGGATGAGACCCTTTTAACTTGGAAAAGCTTGGGAAAGAACTATTATTGGGTCTCAAGCGCCATTCGTCATGTTTTTTGAGTCCTTGTTTTATGGGAAAAAGGGATTTGGTGTTTTGAAGGTAAGTTGTTTATAAATTTGTCCATTTTTCATTTTCAGAAACATATGAAATGATAAAGTCAAATTTTCGTAGGTTTTTCACTTTTAAAAATCATTTTGATATGTTTAGCTTACATGTTTCAGTAGTTGTTGGCGTTTTTTGTTAAATGCATGATAACTATTTAATATTTTTGAAAACATCGTTTCAGTAGTTGTTGGCTTTTTTTGTTAAATGCATGATAATTATTTAATGTTTGTGAAATTAATATTACATATTTGATTATGTTAAATCTTTAAAATTAGCTTTCATAGGTTTTTAGTGAAGCAGTCACCTGATGTCGACGAATTATTGGCTTTATTGGCGAAGCAAGATGAAATGTTGGTGGCTTTGGCGAATGAACTGGAAATATGTAAAGCTGAAGTAAATAACGGAAGACAAATGGGGATGTCTTCGACAACATATGAGAAGGTGCTAAGGATGCAGGAGCTATGCAGTTTTATATTCAGCAAGTGTGGCTTTTCGGAGGTTAAATTTTTTTATGAGATAATGAGCAAATTTTCATATACAGTTAGCCAGATACTTAAGCTTATTCATCTTTTTAGCGAAAAGAGGTAGATAAAGAAGTTCCGTTGGATATAAAGATGAATGAACAGTCCATTCTTGATGCGTTTGATAGCATCAAATCGGAGGAAGCTCTGGAAAAAATAAAAAAATTCTTAACTGCTTTCGATAAATTATCGCAAGAACTGGACCGTACAAAAAGGGAAATGAAATATTCTAATGAATCTTATACGTCTAAACAGGTAGACATTCAAAGTCTCCTTTTATGAAAACAAAGTTCTTGTTAAACTTGAATTTCGTAATTCATTGTCTTTTTTTGTAAAACTTGGAAAATGATTTAAAATCAGAAAAATTTTTTTGTTTGCGCAAAAATCTTTTTATGTTTTATGTTATATTTTATCGCCAGTTGTTATTAAATATAAAATGTATTTTTCAGACTTATAACGAACAGTTGAATAAATCATTACGTGAAGAACTGTCGCATTTGTTGCTTGAAGTTTCGAAATTAAATTTATGCGTAAATGATAAAAAGTTAGAAATCGATCGTCTTATTGCTGAAAAATCAGTCTTAGAGGTATACTTCCGCACTTTTTTGTTTTCTTTCTTCATTGTTTCATTGGCATTTAGATTTCATCGATTTTTGGTTATGAATCGATAGTTATATAGTTTTAGAGGCGTTTATCCGCCATCTCATGTGCTTATCATAAAATTGAACGACGTGTTGAAGATTATTTGAAGCGCTTATCGGAAGAAATTTCTTTAAGGCAACGAGAATCCAATTATCTTATGTCACGAATCTCAATACTTGTCAGTGAGAATGCAAAACTTCGATCAGCGCTTCTTAATGATTATGGCAAGCTGAATGAAAATAATCATAGTTCTCGTTTGTTTTTATGCTAGCAGTTTTAACATAGATGATTCCCGCTGTTCTAAATTTATATTTCGATATATATAAATAAACAAAAATCCCTACAGAAATGTCATTTCCAGTCCAAATATTAGGTCTTACTAGTTTCTCTCGTGATTTATCTGCACTTCCTCATAATTTTTAAAATTCAGATATAGATGCTCTTTTGACTCAACAGAGCGAAGCCATTCGTTCTCTAAAAAACGAGTGTGAAGTGTTATTACTTCATTTGCAAAAGATTCGACATAATTACAGGTAACTCAAATTATTTTACTAGACTTTTTTTTGGTCAGCCTTATCTATATTTCAAAATTATGTTTTAAAATGTTCGATGTTTAATGAGATTCGCATAGATAATATTTAGTAAACTTTTTTACAAGAACAATTCTTTTAAGTGAATTTTTGAATTTTTCGATATTGAATTTTTCTATTTCAGAAAGGATTTAAAAATTCTTAAGCAAGAAAATAAAAAACTTTTTATCCAGCTCGAACGAATTGCAAATCAACATCAGTAGTGTTTTCATTCCCTATCATTTCGTTTTAATTTTGTATAATTAGCTATGATTCAAACTATTTGATTGAAGATATTTGATTTTCATTACAAATAATTAATTTATTTGTTTTTTATGTAAATAGTGGCAGTAGTTTTATTCATTTTTTTTCATTTATTTTTTTACAAAAATCTTAAGAGATTTATCTTTTATCAATTGTTTGAATTTTATGTGCCTTAACCAGTGATTTTACATCGCGCCGGTGGAGTATGGAATCCTTCGTTAGTGCTTCAATTGCTGCCGTTGCCACCGCTTCTTGGCGACGTTGCTGAAGGGCTTCACGGTATTGCACTGGAAGTAGTACTGTTTGTAGAAAATATTTACAACTAGAATAAAAATCTTTTATGATATACTTTTGTATTATAAAAGTTTATGAATTTTCGAAGCAAAAGATTTTCCATTCACCAGTCCAATAAATAACCAACTTGAATGAATGATGAGTAGAACTCCCCACGCGATTGACCAGAACCATCCAACAAAAAGAAAAGTTATTGTAAAAAACTGGCTCAGACCAACAAGAACGTTAACTAGCAGAGTAGCAAGTTTCCTGCCCTCTTTAAAATTTATTCGCGGCTGACCTAGGCAAAGTGCACTGATTCCACTGAACATCGTTCCTGCATATTTTGTAATTAAAAGAAAACGCATATAAAATTCATAATCAGCTAGTTTTCTAACATTAGTTGCTTTACTGGATTTTTATTACTTTGATTATGTTGATCGACAAGTCATCCGTATGTATGATCAAATTAATCTAATTCACTAACCTGAGCCAGGTAAGATTATGTTAAGAGTGAGGCAAATTAAAGCAATTGGAACAGGCAGAAAGGGGATTGCCTCGTGCATCATCGTTATATCGTTGGTTGGTAAATGAACTTTATCGCCGGTTCGATGTTCTCGTATATTATGTGCTTCTTCTTGAGCTGCCAGTACAACGCCAGTCATGTTAAAAGCGTATCCCTTGAGTAATATATTTATTACGATTATATGCAATGCAAATATCGACTGAACTATTGAAGAAAATATTTTAATTGCTTTAAAACCAGCATATGGTTATTATCATTCGTATTAACAACTGACACTTGTGGGCTATAATTGAATTAAAAGGGATTCTGAGATATAAAAAGAAAATAATGGAGGAAGAAAAGGAATGAAAACAGTATGAAACCATAGTAAAATATATTATATCTGAAGAGGGGAATTGTGGAGGTAAAACTTCATTTCAGTTTCAGCTCAGAGTAATTCTATCTAATTAGTCTAAATTTGGCGTAAAGCGTAGGTTAGAGATTCAACCCTTTAGATACCTGAGTGAAGAAGGATCCTCTTGGATTGCACATAAAAAGCAAAATAACGAAGCATAACGACGAAAGAACTTTGTTTTTTATGCTTTTTATTATAAAATTAAAAGATGTAAAAAAATGGCGATCATTTGATTGAAAATCGAGCCGCAAATGCACCAAAATAAAAATAGGTACATTTGGAGCACCAAATTTTGGTCTAATGTGTATGACTTACATGTTCTTGTCCTTGCAGAATTCCTTCACTTCTACCATATTCAAGTATGCGATGAAGAGATTTTTGAACAAGCTTCCAGCCTCGTGGTCGATCCGACTGGCGTGCATTTATATCATTAACTGAAATGTTGAAACATGTCAAAATAGCACTTTTAATAGCAATTTATTAGCCAAATAATGCATGTAACGAGTCGTATAACGAAATAATGGATTTATCAATCAAGCTGATAAGAAAAAAAGCAGCGTGCTACGGCGTCATCTGGTGATAAAAGTGCAAGTGGGCAAGCACCATTTCTCTATCTTTTAATGAAATAGAGTGACCTGAAGCGCCTCGCACATATTCTTGCAATGAATGGATATTATTCACTTGAAATAAAAGTAAATCGAAAAAACTCAGCGATAAATTAATTTCCAACTCTGATGCCATAATTGTCATCGAAGATGAAAGGGAATGTGGGTAATATAAATAAACGCACAAACCTGGCGTCATAATGTAAAGTTGGGTGTTCCTGGTGGTATTGCTTAGCACTACGGTTTGCTTTGATTTATCGGAAGTATTTGACGGCAATTCATTCGTGCAGCAGGAAGACAATTTGAAGCAATTGCGAATAGATTTCTCGAAAAGGAATAAAAACGAGACAGACAAAATCGCGAAAACAAATTCGACCAATTGTCGTCGCAAGTCAACCAATTTCTTTAAAATTTTACCTTTTTTTATTAACGATTTTTTCCTCTCAAAATAACAACTTTCAATTGATTTTACGTCGATAAATTTTATATAAATAATTTTTTTCGACATTTGCTTTAATGAATTTGCTTTAATCATTCGTTTAAATGGCCCTAAAATAAAGTAAAAATTTTCTAAGCTATTTTTCGCCATAAAGTTTTCAAAATCGTTAACAAATGTTTAATGCTCACTGAGAAGTTGTTTACAGTAGTCCTTCGATTGTTCACCCCTATTATCTGTGACTCTTTGTGTGCTTGTTTCTGATCCAATAAATACAAGGATTTTATTCATTAGCAGTAAATAAAAATGTAGGCAATAGGCACAAAAAGCCTAATTTCTAATTGATGTAAAATCTAATGGCAATCCAATGCATCATTTGAAATGGATGGATTAGCATATACCAAGAACGAAATAAAGCGGATTAAACGAAATAAAAATAATGTCAAAGATGTTATGATATGGTCAATAATATGCGTAAACAAACCAAGCAACAATGTTAAAATATGTTCCACACGACTTTACTGTTACCTATAGCTGGAAAATAAGTGAATTCGCGACACTTTAAGCAACTGAATAAGGTCGACACTGAAAGTGATTGAATAGAATTCGAAAGTTCTCGTTCAAGTGCTTGCTCATTAAGTACAGTGCCAGGAACGTTGATAGATAAAATCAAGTGTTAAAATCAATTTTAACTTATTTTGGATATTAAAAGTAGCCGATAAAAACGATAGCCATCGCACAGAATTTTAGCCACAACACATTTTCATGCAACAGTCGACGATAATTTAGGCAAATCAATCTTATTACCAACAATTAAACGGTCGAAATTACTTTTATACAAGAAAATGAGGGCTTTGAATCTCCAAAAGTTTCACCTAAAAGCATTTACGAAATATTTACGTTTTCAAATGGCAGAAAATTATATATATTTTAGATATATATAAGTTATATATTTCGTTAAACTGTCGACTAAATTAAATAATATTTACAAAGCACATCAGCAGTGATATCTATTCTATTTGATCAAAAAACTTGATTAAATTTTACCAGATTTTTTCATCGTTTTCGCTTTAGCTATATAAATATATTTTTTGAACACAAAAGTTTTTCACCAAATATATTTCAGGAAAATAATGCAAATCTGCGGAAATACCAATGCATATATATATATATATATATATAAAAGTTGGAATATTTTGTGAATTCTTTTGTTGATTGAAGATTGTATTGCAAAGAGATCGAAATGACAAAAAGGAAAATACAGAATAATATAATATAGTATAATTCGGAGTAATGTATTATATTTAATCGAATGGTAAAAATCGAGATTTCACATTTCAGGCATGATGTAAACTTTTTAAATAATATCATAAATGGTATTATCTAATCTTTTTTAAAAGATAGCTATGGATGACACAAAAGCTATATCGTTCGATAATTTATTTCAGTAATTAATAGTATGAATAAAGAAGTCAAGAAGAGTTCTTAGTTTAGTTTTGCGCATAGGTTTTAATAATTTTAGCCCATTAGCTCTTGTTTGATTCAAATTTAACCTAAAATTATAGTATTTTGAACAATCTAGTTTAACATAACCATATAGAATGTATGGATATAAGTATAAATTTCAGGGTATATCTTATAAATATAAATTAAATCTTGTTTAATACGACGAACTGACAGAGAATACAGGTTATATTGTTGAAGTTTTCTTTTATAATTAAAATTACAATTAGGAGAGAGGTGCCGTATAAAATATTTTTGGAATACTTCAATTATTTTATTTGATTTACGATATATCGGGGAGTAACACGTAGTATCGTAGTAAAGAAGTGGCCGAACGAACGCTTTGTATATTTTGATAAGAAAACCTTCAGTTTTATTCTTAAATGTACGAAAAATAAAATTTAGTACTTTTGAGGATTTCTTTACCATGGTTCTGCAATGAAGGTCGAAATAGAGATTTTCATCCATGATTATTCCAAGATCAGAAATGTGTGAGATTCTACTGATTATATTACCATTAATAAAAAGATTAGGAAGATCGAAACCTTCAGAATTAATATGAAGAACGCTACACTTTTGAAAAAAAAGGATAATTTGCCTGTCATATAGCTAGTTGGCTATTCTGTTGAGGTTTTCCTGCAGTGGAGATAGGCTATCCGCTCTACCATGTGAATAATAAATAATAAATAATACGATCATCAGCATAAAGATAAATGATAGAATTTAACAATTTAATTTAATTTAATGGTAGAATTCAATTTGGTGATATCATTTGGTGAATATGAATAGAATGGAGACTGAAGTTGAAAGGAATCGACAATGCACAATCTAAAATATTATTATATCCAATATCAATTAGCTTTTTAATGCAACATAGGAGCGAATTAAAAAGTAAACTCATTAGCAGAACCAGGTAAAGTAAAAATTTGTAAAAAAAAACTTTAGAATAATGAATCAGGCTTCAACTATTGAATCAAAAAAATTAAAAAGAGTGATCAAATTTGTATAACCAGGATTAAGGAGGATAATCTGAAATGATTTCTTTTCAGTAACTTCATCATTTAGGGGCTTGTTCCATCTTACCACATCAAAATCCGTGAATTCTGATTTCACGTCCTCAATAGTATTATCAAGCTATTACTATTAGTATTCTCAGTTAAAAAAGTCTTGATATCCTCCACTCTCACTGGCCATGTCTCAGAGCCATATAGATCTATCAATTGAAGACTAATATAAGAAAAAACTGATTAACTAATTATACTTATGTAACAGCACCAGTTGTTGACATCTCATTTTAGTAAGATGATTTCTGTTAAGGCAATGGTTTGACCACATTATATATATAGCGCTGGATTATCCCGTAATATTAAGTGTGTATTATTCCTTTTGATGAGAATCGTTGTTTTGTATTTTATGAGTCGGCTTATTGTTTTATTCTTCTTCTCCTAACAGTTCTCACCATTACTGGTTAGGCTGTCTTCAACGCTACGAGGTAAGACGCTTCTAAGCGGCAAAGTCTGATGCTATTGTTGATAGAAGCCATTTCTTTATCCATCGTCTAAGTCCATATTGCTGGTCCACCTATACGTTCAAAATCTTTTCTCACCGTATCAGTCCAGGTCTAGATTGGCCCACCTCGGTTTTGGCGCTAACCATCACATGGTTTA